GAAAGAAAAATCAACTGATTGATCCTAAATCTACAGTAATAAAGTTAAATGTGATGATTAGCAAAGCACCGAGTTGAGAATCTGGGCAGATATTGATTTCTAATATTGCTGCAATAAGCTGATATTTACCAATAAATATTTAATATTGCAAAAATTAATTATCAATAATGACTGGTATTACATTTTTAAATTGTAATATTTTTATCCTCCAGTTATGAAAATTGAAACAGATTCTTGTATTTTGCTGAAAAAGTTATTTTTCTGTTATTTCAGTTGAACTAAGTTATTTGCACTCCAAATAACTTTAGTGTTTTTGCAGAAACATTTTTCGTTTGCCAGTAGATCCACATCATGTTTCCTGTTTTACAAATTAAACCATTTCTCTGCACTTTGGCTGTTTTTAGTTCAGGAGTGAGAAGAAAACGAGCAGAAACTCTTTAAAACTATGTAATTTATCATTTTAAATCATTCCTGGTGACGTTTAGAGCAGGAATTAAATTTAACTGCCTCTGTTTTCTGCCCACACAGGAAGTCTGCAGCAAGCTGAATAATAATAATAATAATAATAATAATAATAATGACAATAATAAAGCCGTTTCCACTGGGAAGCAGCAGCTTTTTATAGCCCAGCAGTTTATGCTCTCTCTGTAGTTTTATAAATAATTCACAGATCCAGGAATCGTTCCTCCACATCCAGCTCCACTTGTTTAATCCTCCTCTCCTTCACTAACTTCCTCTAATGGATCCGGCGTTTCTGGACGTGATTCTGCCCACTGAATTAAATAAAGACTTGAAGCAGCAGCGAATCTTTTTCAGCCTGACGCTGGAAATCTGACTAAAATGGACTTCTGGTTTATATTTGGGTTTCTGACCGACTCTTTGGAGGCTGCAGATGAATTACTGCAGCATCACCGCTTGTGCCTGAATTGCTAAGCAACAAGTTGTTGTTGCTGTTGCCAAAGTGTTGCCCTGAACTTAAAAACCTCCGGAGGTTTGGAGAGAAAGACACAATCAGCCGAGTCCGGACTCCCTTTCCTAATTACACAAAGGTCATAATCAGCAGTGGGATTCAAATTTTTAATTGAGTTGATCGAGAAAACTGCCATTAATAAATCAAAAATTATCACATTTTAATTGAAAACTATGGATCAATTTTCAATTCTGAAACTTTTCTGCTGATAAACTATTGAATAAGTCGATATATGAGCTCAAAAACATATATTATTGTTTTTAATTTGTTATTTATGATGCCGTGTGTAATTAGAAGAGTAAATTTTTGCCAAGATTTTGAGAATAATTTCAGATATTTTCTAGAAAAAAACAAACAGATATTTTATGAGTTTGAAAACTTTGCTAGAAAAAACTAAGATTAATGTCAGAAAATGTTAATAAAAACACAAGAAAATTTCTGTTAAGTTTCTTCTGATTTTCAAAAGTCAAAGTTTTTATCTTTTGGAGTTTTCAATAGTAAAAAATTTTAAATTTTTTTCATAAAGATTACTGAGATTAATCACAATATTTCTGAGATTTTCTGAATTTTTTAAATTTTCCATCTGAGATCTTCATGATCTGCATCGGATTGAAGGAAAGTTCAGATTTCTGGTGTTTCAGGAACTTTTTATCTTCATCAACAAACAGATATAAAAAAACTCGCTTCATTTCATATTTCACAGTTTTTTAGATTTGGGAAATAATTTGTTTAAAAACCTCTGATCTGTTTTATATCGTTTCTTATATACTTTATTATTAAAGATATCATATATTTTATATTCTATTATAAATCTTTTGTATATTTACAAAACATTTTCCCCCATTTTATAAGTGGAACTCGAACTTCCACAAAACAAAAGCTCCTATAAATTGGTGAAAAGTCACTTGTATATAAATACATTTTTGATGTGGAATATTTTTTTGTACATATTTTCTGATGTTTGCGAAGCTTTGGTGGCTTTTAGAGGGGCAAGGAGAGATGGACCTAAAATATTCCAAATACAGAATATCTACAGATTAAATGGAAAATAAATACAAATAATCAGATAAAACCAACTGGAGTTTCTAAATTATTTTCTCCTCCTGATTAAAATCTGTTTCTGCCTCTTCGGCTTTAATTACCTTCCTAAATAAATAAATAAACCATTTTTGGCCCTGCCTGCACTCCATATGGGAACCTGATGAAGACGCAGGTGTGTGTGTGTGGTGTGTGTGTGTGTGTGTGTGTGTGTGTGTGTGTTGGGCTGGTCTCCTGCTGAATCACAGATGTCTCCATTTGTAAATTCGCCAGCTCTTGGTGACATTATCCTGCAAAACGACTCGAATCCACCAAGAAAACACAACAAATCTACCCAGGAAAAGGTCAGACTATAATTCCCAACTCATAGCTCAGATTACTCTGATCTGCAGCAGATTTTTCAGGTTATTTTGATCTGGTTTGTGCTGCAGAACAAACGAAACTCAACCACCCGGCTGATTGTTTTCCTCATAATCCCAGTCGTTTCTGCTCCTCCTCTGGATTCACTTCAGGACCGTTTCCAAAACGTTACGAAGCCGTTAGTTTCTGTTTGTTTCAGTCTGATCAGGTGATCTGCCTCAGGATGAAGGCGGCCGCCTCTCAGCTGATCTGTCAGTGTCGTTGACCCAAAAACAAACCTGATGTGTCATTATTTATTAAACTAAAGCAAATGCAAACTCAGGATTCCTGCATGTGAAAATCCCTCACAGATTTTTTCTGTGTCACAATTTAAAGCTTCATCTAACAGATGGAATAATACTCACTGTAATTACGACCCGTGTGACGACATGAAGTAGGCCGAAAACACCCATCATAAAACAAGCTTCTATTTCCTCCTGAACAGTTAGTTTTCTCATATATAGTGCAATAAAATATTTACATTGAAACTAAACCAAAATCACTTGGGCTTCACTGCAAAAACACAAAATCTTATTTTAATCTAGTTTCAATATAAATGACAATAATATATAAAACCCTCTGATTTCTTGATGAAAAGTCATTTTTTATGTTCATTTTGTTTTATTTCAGGTTTAAAAAGATTTTGATGTACCAGAAACTAAAAATTATTGGCTAAACTTTGAGTTTTTGCAGTGCAGATTGGTGACAGTTGGGTGCAAATGCAGAAACTAAAATAAAAGGCAGTCGATACAAAGTCATCAGTTTGTGCAGGAGTGTGTGTGTGTGTGTGGGTGTGTGTGTGTTTGTGTGCGTGCGTGCGTGCGTGTGTGTGTATGTGTGTGTGTGTGTGTGTGTGTGTGTGTGGCCTACTCTTACTGATGGACGACCGTTTTCCCTAATCGATCGTCCCACAGGAACCCGCCTGATCTTCCCCTCTTCCCCGTCACCATGACAACACACCGCCCTCTGATTGATGACGCCACGCAGAGCCTCCTCTGGGCGTCCACACCCTCCCCGCTCCTCCCCGCTCCTCCCCGCCCCTCCCCGCTCCTCCCTTCTCCTCCCTTGCTCTCGCTCATCCGTCCTCTTCCTCCTCCATTCTTCCACTCTTCCTCTTCTGCAGCGTTTCTGTTTTGTTTCTGAGTTTTGCTGCAGCTGCTCTCTCACTTCTTCCACTGGACGATTCTAACGTTGCTGTCTGTCTCAGACATCAGCACTGAAGAGTGTTGATGCACATTTATCACCACCACTTGGGGGAAAACCTGCAGAAATCCTCCATGATTGTCAGAATGACAGTAATAATTTGTGCAAAGCTGCTTCGATCAATTAAATTTAAATTCTCAGTGTTGAGGCCCTTAACTGTTACAAATAAATGTGATATTGTTGATATTCTGCTGATGTTGATAAAATCACAGTGTTTTTTAATGCAGCAATGTAAAACAATCTAAGAAGCTAAAAGGTAAAAACAATTAGCAGCCAGGAGAATCAATAAAATCCCTCCAGGATAATAAAAGCATAAAAGCTTCGAGGATCTTAAAGTTGAAATAGTTTCGGTCCCTGGAGTGTTTAGTAGGACTGGGAGGAAGCAGCTGCTTGGGAGAAGATGAACCATGAATTGCAGCAGGACGCTGCAGAAACGCTGCGATCTGCTGCGTTTCTCTGAGACGCAGCTAAAAATGGAGCCAAGCAGCTTTGATGTCGCCTGTTTGATATTTGCTTCTTTTTCTGGATCCACTCGTCTTTGTGGTTTTGCACTGATTTATATAGAACAAAAGGGATTTATGTTTTAAATATGACACTGAAGGAGACAGAATACTGGAAAGTACTTTAAGTACTAGTGAAAATGTTTTATTACATTTGAATTAAAACAAAACTAATTTACAAGTTTTCAGCAGATAACTCCTTAAGATTGACTTTTTAAATTACCAACAGATTATTTCACTTAAAACAGCAACAAAAATTTTTCCCAATTTGTGAAATGATCTGACAATTAATATTTTTATCAATATTGATGAATTATCAACGTAAAATAAGCTCTCTTTAATATTCAAGTTTACTGAGGTATTTGTACTAAAAGAGAACTTGACAGATAATTGGTCAGATTTTGTGTTTTGTGGCATTTTTATGATGCCTTATTATTTCCATTTTAGACCCTTATATCACATCGCATTACAAAGAGATAATTTACACCAAAAAACACAAATTCTCCAGAAAAAACAATGAAATTTCTGAGTTTAAAAAGTCAAAAATTAGCTAGCAGAAAATTTCAGAAATCTTGATCTTACTCTCAGAAATCAGAAAAACAAGAAAATATTACAATTTTAAATGTCAAAATGTTGCTAGAAAAAATCTGAAAAGTTCAGATTAATTTCAAGAACTGTTCAGAAATATCTTGGAAATTTTTAGTGTAAAGAAAAATTCTAAACTCAAAAAGTGAAACTATTACAACTTTTCAAATTCAAAATGTTCCTGTTTTCTGAGTCAGAAAAGTGAATTTCTGTGATTTAAAAATCAGTGTCAGTTCTTTTAGTGTCATGTTTATATTTTCCACCTGAGAACCTTTGACCTTTGACCTGTTCTTGTGTTTTTGCAGGTGAGCTAGTCGCGCCGCTCCCGGTTCCCATCATCCTCTTCCTCCTCTTCCTCTCGCGGCTCCGCCATGTTTCCCTTCGCCTGCCCTTCCTCCTTCCTCTTCCTCCTCCTCGCCGCCCTGCTTCCTGCCTGCCAGCCGGAGTCGCAGCGCGTCGACCCGAGCGCCGAGCCCGAGCCTCGGACGGCGCTGCCCTCGTCGGCCGCCGCCTCGCTGGCGCCGTCGCTGCTGTACGGGAACAGCTCCACCTCTGGCCGTCTGGATAAGTGCGACAAGAAGACGGTTTGCACGGAGGGCATCCTGCTGCCGGTGTGGGAGCCCAAGCAGCCGGGCCTCGGGTACCAGGTGGCCCGCGCCGTGGTCTACTTCGTGTCCCTGATGTACATGTTCCTGGGAGTGTCCATCATCGCAGACCGCTTCATGGCGTCCATCGAGGTCATCACCTCCCAGGTGAGCGGGACCAGGAGCTTTAAACCAGCTGAGATTGTTCAACTTCCTGAGTCTGATCTTCATGGAGAACCTTTCGGGTTTTTATCTCTTTAAGTCTCTTCAGAAATCGATTCACACAGATTCCTGTGTGGAGGCCCAATGTCCTTTTAGCCAGTGTAGATAAAAAAGATCAGAAAACTTCAGATCCATTGTAGAAAAAAACAAGACAATTTCTGAGCTTCAAAAGTAAAGTAAAAAAAAAAAAATCAACTACATAGTTGGAAATAATTTGTTTATGTTTGTAAAGTGCATAGATATAAAATCCTGGAGGCATTTATCCTGCTGGTCCTGAAATGGAAAATAAAACCTGAAATTTCAAAGTGATTTATGTGTTAATGGAAATTTCAGAGCTCTTTAAGTAAAACGGTTTTTAAATTTAAAATTATTTCACATCTTGAGGCGATAAAAAATAAAACAGGCTCCAATTGTTAATCAAGGTTCTGGTTCTTGACATGCAGAACAGCAGATGAATGTTCCTTCATTATGAGAGCTGAATATCAGAAATCCTTCTGCAACATGAGCAGAACTGCATCTCATGAACACAACGTGACTTTTGTTTTGGGGATATTTACAGTAAAACTGCATTCGGTGCTCTTTTTCTGCATTGTTGTGCTTTGACCGTTCAGTTTGAGGTCAGGCCTCCTGGACTTTTGAATCTGCTGCAGCGTCTCGCCCAGTTCAGCTCGTCTGAGCTCGGCTGATACGGTGGAACAAATTGAAGTGGGATTGGCCGTTATGGAAACATTGAGAGATAAGTTGGAGGTGGAGAGGACAGCAGAACGGGCTGAACGAGGCCGGCTGATTGTCCATCAGAGGAGAATCGGCTCCTCGTCTCGTTGTCCATGTGTTGCTTTTCCTGAAGACGTCTCAGGGATTTATGAAGGTCATTACGTGATGAGTAAACCAGAAACCCAGGAATTCAAATGAATTATTAGACAGCAGGAGTCATTTTATAGACTTTTGTCAGTAAAAGTTTATAGTTTCTGACTTTAATTAACGTAATTAAAGATGATGATAATTAATTAACAATGATTGAAAACCTGACTCTTTCTGTGGAGGATTTTCAGCCAGCGAGAATTTATTGAATCTCATCCTTTATTTCCTGTTTTGTGAAGTTTATTTTGCAGTAGTTTGTGGGGGTACGGGGGTTGGTTCGTTATAGTTTGTAAAGATAGAAAATTAAAAATGGACAATAATTTGGGAAAGAAAATGAGGATTCATTTTGCAGTCATATTTTCATCATGTTATTTTTTAATTTATAATTTTTAAACAAACTATTTCATTACCAAGCTAAATGTGTAGCTCTGAGCAAAACTACTTAGCTAGCCAGATAAATATTTAGAAATATTTAGCTGGAAGTATTTTTTTTCCTTTATATTGGGATTCATCAATACCCAGATTTTATTTTGATAGTCCACTTACAGCTTTTGGCAAGTGAATTTGCATATTATCTGAATATTTAGCTCTCAGATAGCTAAATAGTTAGCTAGCTCAGACATTTAGCTGTTTAATTATTAGCTAGCTTAGACTTAAAAAGGTAGTTTGCTAACTAAATAGTTGTTAACAAAAAATATTTAGCTACCAAGCTAAATGGGTTACTCCTGTCCAGAGCTGGGCTAAATTATACCAAAGTAAGAGTAGCACTACTTTAACATACTTTTACTCATGTAAAAATATAAAGTATGTGTTTTAGAAATAAGTCAGAGTGAAAAAGTATTTGGTAAAAAATCGACTCAATACTGAGTGACTGATCAAATTATCATTCATTTAAAATTTAAAAATGACATCATCAGTCAGATCAAAATGTAAAGTTATGTGGAAATTTAGATGTTTTTAAGGATAAAAGTGACAATAATTTATATAAGTAACAAAAATAAGAAAATCAGGCTAAAGAAAATGTTTCCAAATCAATAAAAAACTTCTGAACCTTTAACAAAAGCTGCAGGTGTGTCTGAGTCTGGTGGATTTTTGGTTAAAATATGTTTGTTTTTCATTCAATGGGAAGAAAATCCAGAACTTTTACTAAAGTCAGAGTAGAAATCCTTCATAATAGAAGTAGTGAAAGTAATGTAAGTAAATGTAGCTGAGTAACGGTAACCAGTCACAGCTCTGCCCGGCTCCTCAGGTGTGTTCAGGTGTCCAGTGTGTGTGTGTTTTGCAGGAGAAGGAGGTGACCATCACCATGCCCAACGGGGAAACGTCCGTGGCGACAGTTCGCATCTGGAACGAAACCGTCTCCAACCTGACGCTCATGGCTCTGGGCTCCAGCGCTCCGGAGATCCTGCTGTCGGTGATCGAGGTAAACGCCGCCGCGCCGCCGGCGTCGGCTCTCCGTCGCGGCTCAGCTTTCAGAGCCTCCGTTCCTTTGCAGGTGTGCGGTCACAACTTCGAGGCCGGCCAGCTGGGGCCGGGGACCATCGTCGGCAGCGCAGCCTTCAACATGTTCGTGATCATCGGGATCTGCGTGTGGGCCATCCCCAACGGCCAGTCGCGCAAAATCAAACACCTCCGGGTTTTCTTCATCACCGCCTTCTGGAGCATCTTCGCCTACATCTGGCTCTACCTCATCCTGGCTGTCATATCGCCGAGCGTCGTGGAGGTGAGGCCGCCTGCCTGGATGGGAAACCAGTCTGACCATCAGCAGGATTAGCCTCAGCCCCCAAAACCAGTAAAACATGAACTGCAACACACAAAATCCCACAAAGTTCTTCTGACTTATTTTCAGCGCAAATATCTCAAATAGGTCAAAACTAACTGATGAGTAACGTTTCAGCAAAATATAAGAGCTTGTTTTAAGTGAATAAGTTGGCAGATAAATCCACCAACATTAAGACATTTAAAGCAGCTCACATCATCTGAAAGTGGCAGTGTCATGTAAAATCCGCCTTTTTATCTTTCCATCATGTTATGATGTCATTTCCTCATCTAAAACAAACCTGCTTTGAATCTTTCATGCATGTTTGATTCATCCTTTATTTACATGGCGACCAGTCAGAGACCCTCCTGTGTTCCTGGAAAACATGAAAGCCTGCCAGTTTAATCAGGTTTTGGGTTCTGCGCCAGAGAGAAATAGAACCCGCCTCCGTCCTCATTGCTGGATCTCCCGGCGGCGCCTCTGTGACCCTGCAGGGGTCACCAGGTCAGCGGGTTCCTGGATGTCTGGCCTTGTGTTTCAGGTCTGGGAAGCTCTGGTGACGCTGCTCTTCTTCCCGGTCTGCGTCCTCCTGGCCTGGATCGCCGATCGCCGTCTGCTCTTCTACAAATACATGGGCAAGCGTTACCGTGCCGACAAGCGCCGCGGCATCGTCGTGGAAACCGAGGGGGACCTGACCCCCACCAAAGGCGGCATGGAGATGATCGCCGACGGCAAGCTGCCGCGGGGAAGCGCCGTGGCTCCCGCTGAGAACGGCAGCGATGGAGCGGCGGGCGCCACGGCGAACAACACCGCCGCGGCGGCCGCCAGGGGCAACCTGCCCAACTCCAACAGCGCCACGGTGAACATGGAGAGCGGCAGGGAGCTGGACGAGAGCCGCAAGGAGGTGAGACAGGAAAACCAGCTAACCTGAGGAGAAGGATTGAAGGTTCATTCAATCCTTGCTCCGCCTACAAACCGGTCCGGTTGAAGTGAACTCTGGTGCGGTTAATGTGAACGCCGAGTGGATCAGCGGCCGCTCCAAAAGCAGGAAGTGGGTTGCAGCACAGGAGCCTCTGGAGACTCAGAGCCACTAACTTCTTCACCAAACGGAAACAGAAATGGAGCCATCAGATTTTAGCAGGATTTCTGTCCTTGGTAAAATCCTATGAGCCATTTTTCCTGCTAGCGCTAGGCTAACATGTTTGTTTTGGTTGTATTTACCCAGAATGCCCTGCGCGGTAGTTCACTTCCTGCTTATGGAGCGGGCTCTGGCCTGCTTGGCATTCACATATGGATTCAAACCAAACCAGAGTTCAAACCGAACCCAGACCAGAGTTAGCTTAGCATTCACACCTCCCAACCGAACCGGACTTTCTAAACACACGGACTGGAGTTGGATTAAAGTGGACTGAACTGGGCTGGAGCTCCTGTGGAACCAGGGCGAACCAGGAAGTGACGGGAACCAGAAACCTAAACCCGGCTTTTCTCCGGCAGGTGATTCGCATCCTGAAGGAGCTGAAGCAGAAATATCCCGACAAAGAGCTGGACCAGCTGGTGGAGCTGGCCAATTACTACGCGCTGCTGCACCAGCAGAAGAGCCGCGCCTTCTACCGCATACAGGTAAGCTCCGCCCACCTGCCTCACCGCTAACCACACCTTGTACCGCAAAGTCCCGCCCTAAACGCCGGGTTTGCTTCGCCTCGTCGCCACCAGGCGACCCGGATGATGATCGGAGCCGGAAACGTCCTGAAGAGGCACGTCGCCGACAACGCGCGGCGCGTGGTGGTGGCCGACGAAGAGGAGACCGAGGAAGACGACCTGGGCGTCTGCAGCCACATCTCCTTCGAGACGGCCCACAGTCAGTGCATGGAGAACTGCGGCGTTCTCACGCTGGCCGTGGTCTGCCAAGGTAGGAGGAGCAGCGGAAACATGAAACCTTCAACAGCTCAGGATTGATTATGACAGGAAAAATAATTACACTTCCTGTTTTACATAAAGAGAATGAAATATCAGTCATTATTCCCTCGGGTGGAAAGTTGACATTTCAGTGCAGCCCATCCAGAAACTAAATAAAAAGCAAACAAGAGACGATGCCTGAGGGCGGCCATCTTGGGAGGCGCCGCCCTTTCAGTGGCTGGGAATAAAGATAAAATATTACCAGCAGAAACAGCATTTTGGCCACTGATGTGTTAAAAGATGAAATATTTAAAATATTTCTTTTATTGTCATATTGCGAGTTTATTCTGGTGATATCAGTTTTATTCTCATAAATAACGCTTCTCTGCTTAGTTTGAACCAAAACCTTTGGTTTTTAATAAATATGACCTTCAGATTTCTTTATTTTGCAGCATAATTTGTCTCTGATTTATGCACCATTCCTTCATATTTAAAATGTTGTGACTTGTTAGTTTTGTGTGTCCACAGATTTCAGAAACAACCTGAAACCTGCAAATTTACCCGGAAACAGAATAAACCGCCTGATGTGATTCTCTCTGGTCGATTTTTATCTGATTTTATTGGGTTATTATCAGTGTAGAACCAGGAACATTTAATGTCACATTTCTCAGTCCAGTGACTCCACAGCATGATGCTTCCTCCGCCGTGTTTGTTTTCCAGTTTTCTGACTGGTGTTGTGTTTTCGTCCTGCAGGCGGTTTGGGGGAGAACACTTTCTACGTGGATTACAGGACCGAAGACGGTTCTGCTAACGCCGGATCCGACTACGACTACAGCGAGGGAACCCTGGTGTTCAAACCCGGAGACACTCAGAAAGAGATCAAGGCGAGTCGCAGCGCGAATAAAACCACAAAAAGATTCTACGGCGTTGTGGCAGGGCAGGAAAAATAAGAGTACATTTCTGCCAAAATACTGAGAAACTTGGAGATTAATTTCAGAAAATTTTTATAACAAAACAAGGAAAATTGATTCTGCTATAAAATGACAAATTGTCTAGAAAAGACAATGACATTTATGAGTTTGAAAAGCCAAATATTTGCTAGAAAAAGTGAAAATTTGCAAGAAAAACTCAAAACATTTTGAGGAAAATCCCACAAAAAGTCTGGAAAACACAAGGAAGGAGTTTCAAAAGTTGATCATTTTCCAGTCTAGAAACTTAAAAAAAATTCTAGTTAAAAGTTATTTTTTAGAAAAATATTGTGATAAAAATTTATTGTTTTTGGCAAATAAATTTCTAGGTTTTTTTCTGGAAGTTTTCCAAGATTAATCTCAAAATTTGAGATTTTCTTGCAAATTTTTGACATTTAAACTCAGAAATTTCACCTTTTGATCTAGAAAATTTGTGATACTTTTGGCAGGAATGTACTTCTGCATTTGTTTTGTCAGAAATGTAATGGCCCTAACTTGCAGCGGTCAGATCTGACTTTGGTTGGCTAAAACAGAAAAACCTAAGAACCGGAAGTTAAGATTGAAAGGCCTAAAAGATTATCTCTGTTTGAGATAAAAACTGGCTTATCGGGCCTGATGAGACGCGAACGGATCGATGAGCTTCTCTCCCTCGCTCTGATTTCTTCTTTGAGCGTCTTGATGAGAAATGGATCGATCCTCAGAGAGGAAAGGCTTCTCTGAAACGCAGAGCAATTAAAGCTCAAAAGTTTTGACCCGAACAGATCTGACTCTTAAATGGTTTTTTCATTCTAAGCAGCAGATATGAATCACAACTTGTTACATTTAATCATTTTTGAAATTTTGATTAAAATTTTGATTTTTGTTGATGCAATTTTTTTTCTTTTCAGACACAGAAATCTTCAGGGTTTTTATTGAAGCTCGTGGCAATTAATCTCAAAATATTTTAATTTTTTTCTATAAATGTTTTTGATTAATCAATCTCTAAAATATTCAAATTTTTTTCTAGAAAAATTTGAAATTAATGTAAAACTTTTGATTTTTTTTTTAGCAAAATTTTTTGGCTGTTTTTTTTAGATAATTTCTTAGATCTGAATATTCCCAAAGCTTTATCGACTTAACTGCTCAGAGAAAGTCTGTCAGGTTGTTGAGGATTTGGTGAAAAATCCAGGTAAATTTATTCAACCAATATTTAATTTGCCAACAGAATTTGAGTCAAATTTTCTTAAATCAAGTCAGAAACTTGCAGTGAGACTTTGGTTGACTGAAAAGTTTTTACAGTGAAATAATTTTGCGTTTGCAGGTCGGCATCATCGACGACGACATTTTCGAGGAAGACGAACACTTCTTCGTCCGCCTGCTCAACCTGAGGGTCGGCGACGCCGAGGGGATGTTCGAGAGCGACGAGGCGGGCAGCGCGCCCAAAGCCCGGCTCGTCGAGCCCCTGGTCGCCACCGTGACCATCTTGGACGACGACCACGCCGGCATCTTCACGTTCAGCGAGCGCCTGGTGCGCGTGAGCGAGAGCGTGGGCACCATGGAGGTGACGGTGGTGCGAAACTCGGGCGCCAGAGGCACCGTGGTTCTGCCGTACCACACCGAGTCTGGCAGCGCCATGGCGGGCGAGGACTACGAGGAGGCGCGCGGCGAGCTGGAATTCACCAACGACCAAACCACGTGAGGCACACAGAGCGACGGGGAGGACCGGGCCAGGGAGGACCGGGCCGGGGAGGACCGGGCCGGGGAGGACCGGGCCGGGGAGCCCAGAGCGGGTCCAGGAGGTTTGGCATCCTGCACGTTTTAGTTCTCCAGGCTGCTGGAAGTAACAACATCCTCAAGATGTCGATGATGTCTCTAACGAGCCGTCATTCGATGCAGGCGCTGAAACACGCAGGACGCCAGCCCTCCAGGACACCAGCCCTCCAGGACCCACTTTGGGCTCCCCTGGACCCGGCCAACTGAACAAGAAACATTTTTTAGCAGAATTAGTAGCAGAAAGTCGGGCTGGGCTCCTGCAGCGATCGCCCCCTGCTGGTGGAAGCTGTTGCTGCCCGGTGGCAGGCGGTGCTCTGTCTGACGCTCTGTTTGTGCTCCTTGCAGTCAGACCCTCCAGGTGAGGATAATCGATGACGAAGAGTATGAAAAACATGAAAACTTCTTCATCGTTCTGGAGGAGCCGCGCTGGCTGAAGAGAGGAATCTCAGGTGAGACATTTAAAACAAACCTACATTTTTATCCTAAACTTTGTGGTTATTCTCTACTTTAGAAAACTGCAAGTATTTTTAGTTTAATTTGCTTGTGCATTATTACACTTGAAATATGTCAAGTGTAGTTACACTTATACACTTAAAATTTACACTTATAGTTTGTTAAAACTACAATTTTTAATGTGTTAAACTAAAAACTAATTTATCTGTTAAACGTAAAAGTTAAAAGTAACTTTTCAGCATCTTAGAAGCTTCTCTTAAGTAAATAATTTCCTAATATTTATGAATAAATCATTCGACTGGCAGTTTATTTCACTTTGAGACATTTTTCCATATTTTCAGTGAATTAAACAGCCAGTAGAAAGTTATTCATTAATTTTAGCACATTTTTTCATACTGTATTTTTTAATCGCTTAAACCAGGAAAAACATTTTATTATATCTTGAGCTGGAACTAATATGGTGCTTCTTTTTATCTGTATATTATATCTGCCAGCTGTTAAACTTTTTATGTTTGTCATGAAGAATAACTGATGACTCTTGTGTTGTTTTGTCCTCAGCTCTGCTGCTTAACCAAGGTAAGGCTGATTATTCCTCCTGCTTCACGCTGAACCTCATTAGACTGGTCAGGAAATGTGGGTTCGGTTTAATCTTCTAATTATTTTCATTTTCACATAGTATATCAGAGCGTAATGCGGTTTAATCACAGAAAACTGTCAGAGGAGCAGCAGCAGATTTGTCTCCGATTAAAGGAGCCGCAGGATAAATTCAGCCTCTCAAGTGACTCATAATTTCTGTTTCACCTGCATAACTTCAGCTTTTTTTATTTTCACCAACAAGCAGCAGAAATCCCAGCACTGCACTGTAAAAACGCAAACTCTCACCGTGTATTTTTGTGTAGTTTCTAGTGCGAATGTCTTAGTAAACTTAAAAAAATACAAAACAAATTTACAAATAACTTTTCAGCAAAATATAGCAGCTTATTTAAGTAAAATATTTGCACAAGAAACTAAACAAGTGTCTGTTCCGCCCCCTGATTGGCTCCTTGGGCTATTTCTCCAACATGAGCTCTGATTGGTTGGCGGAGGACCAGTACCAGACTGGGCCAGGAGCTGCCAGATGGACTGGGAGTGAGTGTGAGCCCAGCAGAAACAGAAACAGTTGCTGCTTCCTGCTCTGCTCTGCTGCTCCTCAGATTAACTGGTTTCCTGTTTAACCCAATTTTCCTCTGGGATTAGAGGAGAGCTGGGTTCAGATTATCAATCCAGATTATCAATACAGATTATCAATCCAGAACACAAAGAAGGAGATAATGTGGCCAATCGGTTTGGTTCTATTGGTTAGATTATATTTATTCGACTCTCTACCTTTTATCACGAGTCAATGATCCATCCATCCATCCATCCATCCATCCATCCATCCATCCATCCATCCATCCATCCATCCATCCATCCACCCACCATCCATCCATCCATCCATCCATCCATCCATCCATCCATCCATCCATCCATCCATCCATCCATCCATCCATCCATCCATCCATCCATCCATCCATCCATCCATCCATCCATCCATCCACCCACCATCCATCCATCCATCCATCCATCCATCCATCCATCCATCCATCCATCCATCCATCCATCCATCCATCCATCATCCATCCATCCATCCATCCATCCATCCATCCATCCATCCATCCATCCATCCACCCATCCATCCACCCATCCATCCATCCATCCATGTTCAAATAGAAATCATTTGTCATCATGTAGATTTCATCCTCACATCCGGCTGAAACGCTCCAGAGTTCAGACCAGCATGTGATTCACAGGGATTAACAAAACGCTGGAGCCTAATCTGTTATTGATCCTGGATTTAGAGGGAGTCGGTGACGGCCATCTTTGAAGCTCATTGCTCTGGTTGTTTCTGTGTTTTTACCCTCCTGCCCCAGCTGAGGGGCAGCTGAGCGTCGAGGAGGAGGAGGCCCGGCGGATCGCTGAGATGGGGAAGCCCATCCTGGGGGAGCACAGCCGCCTGGAGGTCGTCATCGAGGAGTCCTACGAGTTCAAGGTGGAGGGTCATTGGTTTCCCTGTGCTGCCCTCTGCTGGCCAGCTGGTGGCAGTGCCTCAGCCCAGCCAAAGAAAACATGTCTGGAGCCACAAATGTTTTGAGAAAAGACAACCGTAGTTTTTGTATAAATAGCCACATAAAACTTAAAACACGCACAAAACAGAATTAATAAATTTTTTTCTGCAGGATGTGGAAGTTTATCTCAACAAAAAAAAGCATTTAATTTTCTACATTACAAGAAAATAAATGGTAAATATTACTTTTAAATTTAACATTTTCTAGGAAATCGCAGAGATGTTGAGAAATCTAGGAAAAACTTGAACATTTCTTTGTTTTTATAAATTAAATTTCTGAAATTGATGTCGCAGACCAATCTGGGTTTCTCCCATTCACCTGGATTTTCAGTCAGCAAACAGGAGATGACTTTAATTTTCTGCTGCTTTAGAATTGTAGTTTAGCTGTAGTTCGCCTGTAGTTTAGCTGTAGTTTGCCTGTAGTTTAGCTGTAGTTTGCCTGTAGTTTAGCTGTAGTTTGCCTGTAGTTTAGCTGTAGTTTGCCTGTAGTTTGGCTGTAGTTCGCCTGTAGTTTGCCTGTAGTTTAGCTGTAGTTTGCCTGTAGTTTAGCTGTAGTTTGCCTGTAGTTTAGCTGTAGTTTGCCTGTAGTTTAGCTGTAGTTTGCCTGTAGTTCGCCTGTAGTTTGCCTGTAGTTTAGCTGTAGTTTGCCTGTAGTTTGCCTGTAGTTTAGCTGTAGTTTGGCTGTAGTTCGCCGGTAGTTTGCCTGTAGTTTAGCTGTAGTTTGGCTGTAGTTTGCCTGTAGTTTGGCTGTAGTTTGGCTGTAGTTTGGCTGTAGTTTAGCTGTAGTTTGGCTGTAGTTTGGCTGTAGTTTGGCTGTAGTTCGGCTGTAGTTTGGCTGTAGTTTAGCTGTAGTTTGGCTGTAGTTTAGCTGTAGTTTCGCTGTAGTTTAGCTGTAGTTTGGCTGTAGTTTAGCTGTGTTTAGCTGTAGTTTGGCTGTAGTTTGGCTGTAGTTTGGCTGTAGTTTAGCTGTAGTTTAGCTGTAGTTTGGCTGTAGTTTAGCTGTAGTTTCGCTGTAGTTTAGCTGTAGTTTGGCTGTAGTTTAGCTGTGTTTAGCTGTAGTTTGGCTGTAGTTTGGCTGTAGTTTGGCTGTAGTTTAGCTGTAGTTTGGCTGTAGTTTGGCTGTAGTTTAGCTGTAGTTTGGCTGTAGTTTAGCTGTAGTTTGGCTGTAGTTTAGCTGTAGTTTGGCTGTAGTTTAGCTGTAGTTTGCCTGTAGTTTAGCTGTAGTTCGGCTGTAGTTTAGCTGTAGTTTGGCTGTAGTTTGGCTGTAGTTTGGCTGTAGTTTGGCTGTAGTTTGGCTGTAGTTTAGCTGTAGTTTGGCTGTAGTTTGCCTGTAGTTTGGCTGTAGTTTAGCTGTGTTTAGCTGTAGTTTGCCTGTAGTTTGGCTGTAGTTTGGCTGTAGTTTAGCTGTGTTTAGCTGTAGTTTGCCTGTAGTTTGGCTGTAGTTTAGCTGTAGTTCAGCTGTAGTTTAGCTGTAGTTCGGCTGTAGTTTAGCTGTAGTTTGGCTGTAGTTTGCCTGTAGTTTGGCTGTAGTTTAGCTGTGTTTAGCTGTAGTTTGCCTGTAGTTTGCCTGTAGTTTGGCTGTAGTTTAGCTGTAGTTTGGCTGTAGTTTGGCTGTAGTTTGGCTGTAGTTCGCCTGTAGTTTGGCTGTAGTTTAGCTGTAGTTTGGCTGTAGTTTGGCTGTAGTTCGCCTGTAGTTTGGCGATGACAGTGGAGGAAGTGAACGAAGTTGTTCGGTCCTTGTTGGTCACACTTCTAAATATCGCATCAGCATTTCCAGCCGCCCGGTGGGATCAGCGCGTCTCTCTCTGGTTGTTCACTGCGAAGGAAATTTCTATTTAGCTTCATGGCGTCAAACCGATTCGTTACATACGGGAAACGTAAACAGTTGGGTAAAATTTAAAACCTCAGGCCAGGTTTCTCCAGGAGGAAAGTGTTTCTCAGCAGCCTGGACCCCAAACCATCTGGAGGCTCAGCAATAAAGAACATTTAGCTTATAAAATTACATATTTTTCACGTTTCTTAAAACATTATGTTATGTTAGCTGCAGTGTAGCAAAGAGCAAATAACAGGGCTAAGACCCGCCTTCTTGCTCTGATTGGTTGTTTCTAATTAGTACTGAGGCAAAGCAGAGGAGCTTGACCTTTCCTCAACTCATTTGTCACATAATAAACCAAATGTGTCAAAAAGTACATTTTTTATCAAGGTTTCGTACTGAAACTGTAAAGGATCGTTGCTTCTGATTGGCAGAGCACCGTGGACAAGCTGATCAAGAAGACCAACCTGGCGCTGGTCATCGGCACTCACTCCTGGAGGGAGCAGTTTGTGGAGGCGGTCACCGTCAGCGCAGGTGAGGCAATATGGCCGACTGCGTCCCAGTGGAACTAATGTTGGTTTATTATCTCTAAACTCTCACGTTGCAGATGAAGTAATGAAGCACAGATAAGGAGATTTGTTTGGTTCAACTGGAAGCAGCTTCTGATTTAGGACATAAACTTTGTTCTATTCAAGTCAACAACACTGCAAAAATGCAAACTCTTACTAAGCATTTTTGTCTATTTTCTAATGCAAATATCTTCATACACTTAAAATAAGACAAAACTAACTTATAAACAACATATACAAAGTTGCTTTAGCTCAATCATTCTTTAATTTTTATAAAAAGCTCTTTTTACTTATAACACAGGAGGATCTTTTTGTTTTCTTGTTTTAAGTTAGCTCACGTCTTACTGATGTCCCAGGTTTAAATTAGAGTGTGCCCTCTAGTGGTAGTATCAGCCACTTCAGGCGGTATTTTATCCAGTCTGTGAAGGCTTTGACCTTTCGACCTCTGCTGCAGGTGACGGAGACGATGAGGAGGAAGGACGAGAGGAGCGGCTCCCGTCCTGCTACGATTACGTCATGCACTTCCTCACAGTCTTCTGGAAGGTTCTGTTCGCCTGCGTCCCGCCCACAGAGTACTGGAACGGCTGGGCCTGCTTCATCGTGTCCATCAGCGCCATCGGCTTCCTCACCGCCATCATCGGCGACCTGGCGTCGCACTTCGGCTGCACGGTGGGGCTGCAGGACACCGTGACCGCCGTGGTGTTCGTGGCTCTGGGAACCTCCATCCCAGGTGGGACTCATGTTTCTGTACAACGTTACAAACGTGCAGCGCGTTACTGTTAGCTACGGTACAATTTATTTGTGTTTAGCAGTTTAGCTTCTGTCAATTTTGAATGTATTTAGTGGTGCAGTATTGGCCTCTGCTGATTGTTTTGTGATTAGCATTTTTTCCAGGGGCTCAGCTGGAAGAAACTTCTGCCGGCTTCAGTGCAAACATGTATTTTCCACGACAACAATGGAAAATCCAAATATTTCAAATATTCTGAAAATATTTCCTCCCAAAAAAAACACAGGATCATAAAAATATCTATGATTTCATGGTTGTAAATCTGTGTGACTTGACACCTAAATTACTAATTTGTTATAAATATTGGAAGACATAAATTTTTCTTGACGACCATCGTGAAAAATGGCCGCCATTTTGAATTTTTAGCAAAGCAGACCCCTGTGATCCTGAGTGGCTGTTCGGTTCTGCTGCCCACAGGTGAAATATGTTCTGCTCCTCTCCTTGCAGACACTTTCGCCAGCAAAGTGGCCGCCATCCAGGACCAGCACGCCGACGCGTCAGTGGGGAACGTCACCGGCAGCAACGCCGTCAATGTCTTCCTGGGGATCGGCGTGGCGTGGTCGGTGGCCGCCATCTACTGGGCCATCAAGGGGAAGCAGTTCAAGGTGGACCCGGGTTCGCTGGCCTTCTCCGTCACACTCTTCACCATCTTTGCGTTCGTCTGCATGGCGGTGCTGCTGTTCCGGCGCCGGCCCTCCATCGGCGGCGAGCTGGGCGGCCCCAGGTCGTCGCGCCTGCTCACCACCATGCTCTTCATTGGCCTCTGGCTGCTCTACATCTTCTTCTCTAGCCTGGAGGCCTACTGCCACATCAAGGGCTTCTAGTCTCCTTAGGGCGCAGAGGCCGGTCCAACGCAACGCGACCACAGACACGTGTTCATATGTAAACAGATCATTGGAGGAAAAACTGAGCAGGTTTTAAAATGAGCTGGGCTGTGATGTCACACCCGGGCGGGTTCACTAAAACATATTCCCTCCTGTCTGCAGCAACTTTCATGTTTTACGCCGAGGAGGTGGAGAAAAAGAGTCAAATGTTTACAAACCGCTAAAATCACACATGTTTACCGCAGCAGGTCCTCCATGTGTGCTGTAAATAGACCGGACGCTGAAAACGTTTCAGAGGAGGAAAAATAGTCCCAAAATGTGATTAATTAGCAGGAAGTGAGTTTAGACGTGTCTCTTTAGCGCCTAGTCTCTGTGGGAGGACGGTTTTGCATGCACAAAACGCAACCAAGCTGTTGCACAGGAAATACCCAGATCCCCACCTGAGCCGTCTGCTCAGTTAGCATGCATGCTAATGGACTCGCCCACTGCTGCAGCAGTAGAACGACAGTATTAGTTTACAGAAAATCTGTCATTTCGAAACTCATTCCAGCCATCAACACGTCCACGTTGATGCTCGCATGGCACAGATGCCTTAAGGAAAAAAACTCACAGAAATGTGGTTTTCAGGCTTCTAGCTGTACAAACCGCCGCAGCTGTCTCTAACAGTGTTAAACTTTAGTTCTGTGCAATATTTAAAGCTGGTTCTGCTATAAAATAACACTGGATCCAGTAGAAATAGACGTTTGGAGAACAAGTAGCAGGAAGCACCAGATGAAATGTTATTATTGTTGTTCAGATTTTTAACTCAGAAACTCCTGAAACTAACAGCTGCTAAACAAACTGCGAGGAACAAAACCCTGAACCGCACAAAAATAAATTAAAAAACCTCCTCAAATTAAAATGAAACTGGCATTTCAGGGTTTTTATCTTCCAGGTGGAGGAAGATGCTGGGAAACAACGGGAGTCATAATGAGGTCAGGATTGTTTCAGCAGCAGCTTGAATCAATGAGAGATCAGTAAAAATCCTTTTTTATTTTGTAGCTCTTACATTCTGCAGACGTCAGCCTAAAGTTGCTCAACACGTCAACGCTGTTATGACATCGTGGCAGATTTGAGTCGTTTACCCAAAGTAACACTTTGTAAACTTTCTAAAAGTGATTTTGTATCTTTTCCTTGCAGGTGAAGCCAAGGTAGATTTTTTTTAGATTTCCAGGCGACGTTCAGATTAACATAAGCATGAAGAGCCGTCATCCGACATGTTAGTGGATTAGATTTTAATTTGTTTTCCACGTACCTGAGCCAATCCAACGGTTTAAAATATTCAAACATCGCAACATTTAAACAGCCTGCTGCCCCATATGGAAGGCTGAAACTGCCAAAATCAGGAAGAAATGTAAATAATTCACACATAGAAAATATGTCAAAATATTTGATTTTACTGTGGGACTGGATTTAAATTTTGAATCAAGTTAATTACAGGATCTGTAACTAATTAAGCATATTTTAATCTGACAAATTAAGCAACATTTTGCTAAATTATTGAATAAATTGACATAAATGACCAAAATACTTCCCAATGCCTTGAAAATGAAAAAAATTTTTAAAAAATCTTAAAGAAAAATTTGATTAACTGAGTTAAAATGATTACAGTATCAAACTCAATGTAATTAATTAATTAATCAAAAATAACACCTTAATCTCACGGCTCTAATATAAATAGACTCATTCTATAAATTAGAATATTATTTTTTATTCAGCTCTATTTTATATTTCTCTATTTTTATATCTGTATATTTATTTTATATTTATCACTTTTTTTTATACTTTTTCTGTTTTAATGTAAAACATTTTGTCTCCCACTGTTTTCAAAATTTGCTGTAGAAATAAAGTTGATTGACTATGAAACAAATTATATGGATTAATTAAACATAGATTGATGATGGAAAAGTCTTTATTTATGGTATGATGATTTTCCACTTACAGCTAATGAAAACATGACATTTAAAATTAGAGTTTTACACAGGATCAATAAAAAAAAACATGCTTGATACAGAAATGTGGGCTTAGTGAAAAGTAAATAAGTAGTTCAAAAGGTTGCTTTAATCTGACAGAATGTATATTAGAATATCTATCTGAACATTGCCACTTCCAGTTTATTTACATAATACTTAATATTTTAATACCAGGATTTATGGTTGAGTGGAAAAAAATCCCCCTATTTTACCTTTTTAACAATCAAATTGTGTGTTTTAAAAGTTTCTGTTTCTGTCATGAGATCAGTGGAGGCTCTTAAAAATAGTAAAAAAATAGTATTTCTTTTGTCTAAGAGAGGAAAAACAGAAAAAATGTAAACAAGACACTTCAGGATTGAATTCGCATTGCATAGATATCGATATATTTATCGATCCAATTATAAGTTTTTGCTATGTTTTCTCGATTTTGGCCGGTTCAGTCTTCCATCGCCGTCTTTCTGTTGATGTAGAACTATTTTGATGAAATGATTTATTTATTTTCTTAAAGATGAGCTGCGCTGCGGAGTGAACAGAGTGCGGCCGTTTTGTGCAATACGCTCCATGTTGTCTGCTCACGCCTCCTGCCGCAGTGTTTACCGTCTCTGTACATTTCTACACCCAGTCCCTGTGAGGGAGGCTCTGTAAGTGTAAGTAGCATGTTTACATGACGGAAGCGACAGTCTGGCTGCAGGAGAACTGAACAGAACCGGTTTGGACCGGTTCGAATGAACTGTTTGGAACGAGTCAGGACCGGCTGGAACCTGCTGGAACCAGTAGAAACTGGCTGGAACCTGCTGGAACCAGTCGAAACCAGTTATAGTTGGTCAAAACCAGTCAGAACTGGTCAGAACTGGTTGGAACCAGCTGGAGCTTGTTGGAACTGGTCAGAACCGGTTGGAACTGGTCAGAACCGGTTGGAACCGGCGCTCCAGACACAGGCCAGCAGCCAGAACCAGAACTGCTCTGTGTTTCCGTGAACTTCTGTACTAACTGTCGGCCCGTTGGGTCTTTGCTGTTCCTTAGATAGATGTGGTCACCGCCGCCTCGCCCCTCCCCCACTGTGTTCTGTGTTTCCGTGTTCCTCCGGACATGCATGATGAATCCGTGTGTTTGTGTGTTAGCAGCATGGTCTACCCTGATGGAGACGTTTTATTTTTTTATTTTTCTAAGTCAGTCTCCTACATTTGCACAGAAACGATGTTTCCTCCGTTCGGCTCATCCCCCGGTTTGTTTCCTGTGAAATCTCCGTGTCCGTGTTCGTGTCCCCCCTCCCCCACCCATTGCTCCTGCCCAAAGCGTCTCTGTGTGATCTCGTTTTATGTGATAATTAAAAAAGGATTTGTCTCTGCCTGAACCTCTGTAGGGAAACTGTACGACGGCGAATTAAGGCCGTTATTGATAGAGAAAAAAGTACATTTAAAAAAATTCAGCAACTTCAGGAAAAGCTCAGAAATGTTGAGATTAACCTGAGAAATATTTGCAGAAAAAACTTGACAATTTCTGAGTTTAAACATTTGAACACATTTGAGTTTTAGAAATAAGTTTTGCATTTATTTGGTAGTAAGAAAAATCTTGGAAATTTTAAGATTGAAAAAAAGTAGTTTGAAAAGTCAGTCTTTAAGAACAAAAAGTCTTATCTGCAAAATTTGGTAAAAAATTTTTTGAGAGATGAATCTAAACATTTCTTTAAAAAAGCGTGGAAATTTCTGAGTTTGAAAAGTCACAAGTTTGCTAGAAAAAAGTCTGAAATTTTCAGAATAATCTCAATAATAATTTAAACTTTTCAAACTTGTATTTTCTAGAAAAAATCTGAGATCAATCTGAAAATTTCCAATTTTTTGGGTGAAAATTCACTCCTTTTTTTCTATTTGCAATGGCCCTAATACGTTGTCTTAAAACTGACTGAGATATTATATGATGTGATAGACATATACATTAAGTCAATGTTCTAATAAATTAACTGAAGTTTTTTGTATGAAACGCAACAGAAAAAAATTCATGAAAAAAATCTTGTTTTTGAAAACTTGGCATGAGATGTAACGTGTTACTGAAAGAAAATGAAGGTCTTTAATCAAGTGAACTTGACCTTAGTTAAATATAGTTTATTTATTTTCAACGTGTGACGAGTCTGAGTCGTTATTTAAGCATTAAATAATAATATGATGTACAGATTCTCACGTAATTCCCAATAAACATATAAATAAATAAATGGCTCGATGAAGTGATTGATGTACAAAATATTGCATCCAGAACTTTCCCAACTTATTTGGTTATACTGTAACCTAAGTTAATATTGATCATTTTAAACAGTATTTATGTAATTTATCCATTTCAAGTCTATTTTTATTCTTAGTTTCCTTTTTTATTGTTTTTTCCTATTTTATTAGTTTTTTCATATGATGTATTTATTTGAGGACTTTTTTTCACTCGTTGCATTTATTTTTTATATATTCTGAATTTTTTAAAACTTTTTTTAAACACACTGTCATATTTTTCAATCATACATTAAACTGTTTCTTCCAAGCCATTTATTTATTTCTATGTTTGTTGCTAATTAGGTCAGTTTCTGAAAAAGTATTTGGTATTTTTCAGATTTCTTTTACTATCACCAGACTTGGCCAGAACTTCAAACTAACTTTGATATTAAAATTGTTTCATTAAAGTCAGAAATTGTGGTTTAATAAATTATAAAGAACATCCATAAAACTAGGTATTAATTGCACTTAAACAGAATTTTTATCAAATATTTTAAGCTTATTTAAATCAACAATTTGTTACAATTGATTTTAAAAAGTACTTAGAAGTAAAATAATCTGACACTAATAATAGTCAACTGAACTATTACTTTTTTGTTTGTTTTAATCTCTTTTAAGGAAATATTGTCTTAGAACAGTCGACTAGTCTTGTGATGAAGTTACTTGTAAATTAGTGTTGCATTATTTTTAAGGATACTAAGATATTTGCACTAGAAACTAGAGAAAAATACTTGGAGAGATGTTGTGTTTTCACTGTGTAGTTCTCAAGAGCAGCAACTTTTAAATCCATACCTGCTCTGGAATTTGAGGTCAAAGTTCAGGTTTTACATTTGAGCTTTTGTGATGCTAATCAGCTGCTCCCAGATGCAAAAACAATACCTTGTTTCCACAGTTACTCATCTCCAAATGTAAGAGCTGCGCATCACCCAGAAACAGAGAGAATAATTGTCCAAACAGATGAAAAAATTAATGAAAACAAATTAGAACTAACAAAGCTTCTCTATGGTGTTGCTGTATAGAACAATAGTCTGTGTGAAAGTTTTTTGTACTACTTTTCTTTTATCGGACATGTTTAGCTCGCTTTAACAGTTATCTTTAAATCTGGAAGATTTATCTTAAAGTATTAATGTGATTTGAACCGTGTTTAAATTGTGTGTATAGGTAATTTCACTCTGTCCAAGATTCACGTTCATATCTTAGTCCAGTAGGGGGCGGTAAAAGCACCAGCTGGTATGCTAACCGCCAACATTCCAAGACAAGAAGAAGAAGAACCTGCTAGCCGTTGGAGGTGAAGTCGTTGCGGAAAGACATGCGGGAGTTAGATTAACGTGCGTGTTAGTGGCGGTTAAACAAATTTATTCTGTAATTTTTTTTATTCCTGCCACTTCGATACGACCACAGGCTTCCGATAGAGACTGCCGGAGTCGGGTTTTCTCGAAGCGGAGTTACCAAAATCAACAGAGGAAGGTAAGGCCGGCTAACGCGTGCTGCCGCCCGCCATTGTTTATGACTCGGGCCTGGACTATTTCCTGGATTTAACCGTTTATTAATAGTCTTGGAACTCACGTATTTAAACACTTCTGTATTGGTCAGTTGTGTTTATCATTTAAAGTTGTTTAAACAGACCTGATTCCATTAGGCGTAAAATACGGAGATAATAGGCAGGGAAATAGGTAGCACAAATTTACAATTTACATTCCGCACCTCACTTTCTGTTGTATCAGTATTTGAGTATATAAATCTATTTAGAATGGTGTAAGAGATTGTTTTTTCGAAACTGTGGAGATCTTTATAAGGTCTAGTTTAGTAATATTAATATTAAAAAATACACAAATGCCGTTTGAGGGCCACCAGTCTAATAAGTCTGGTCGTAGTTACGAACCCTTTCGCTCAGTCCGTGTCTTTCTTTAGCATAAACTACTTTTTAAAAACATATATATATAAATATATGTCTATATTTTTGGGCTTAAAAGGGGCAGGTTTAATGGGTTTTAATGCAGCCATCATGGCGTCAGACCACCCGCAGCGGCGCCAGGCTCGGAGGGCTTTCAGACTCTCGGGTTTCGCTTTCTGTCACTGCATGAAGAATCCGCACAACACAAACGGTCGCAAGGTAAATAGTTTGCGGTTGGTTAACGGAATCCCGCAAGCGTTTTAGCTGCAGGCTAAGTACCGTTACCATGGAGACGGTCTGTTTACCTCCCGCGCGCTTCTCGGCGGGAGAAAAACGCAGCGACCCAAAAAAAGGGAAAAAGCTGAATAATGTGGTCAAAACCAAATAACTGGGATATTCTCAGTTGAAAAGTCATAATTTTGTGAGGAATATTTGTTTTTTTTCTTTTACAGTTTTCATAATTATTGGGATAAACTAAATATTGTAAAGATAGTAAGATATTCTCTGAAATTATAAAGTAAAAAATTGCAACAAAAAGTCATCTAATGTTGAGGTGTCAAATGTATAAAATGCACATAATGTCAGCTCACATTCTTGTTTAAAATGGTTAATAAATGCCTTTAATTGTGGAAAATTATAATGTTTTATTTATTTGCATAATTGTACAGTGTGTTAACAGTTAATGTCACCCACAGAATATTCTTCGACATATGTAATATTTCTTTGCAGAAATGTACTTTGTGGCCAATGTTTTATTTTTTTTAATCTACAATGTTCCCAATACTCTGTAAATGCATCACATTTTTGAACCTTTATTTTTAAAGGCATGAGTTTCTTTTTTTTATTATTTTAAACTCCATTAAACATTCAGAAGGATGCATCCCATTTCTTTCTTTACATAATGTATTTAAACTTGAGTTCATTAGAATATGCTAAGTAAATTAAATTTAAATGATTAGGTACCCCCTCCAATGGCTAGAATATAAATGTTAATGCATGAAAGAAATGAACATAGAATATGAGACTGTAATAAAGAATCTTTCATCATATTCTCATTTTGTACCATTTAAATGTTGTTTAGTCAAAAGAACAGTAGACATATTATATCATTTACTTAAAAAAGTACCAGAACCGTCTTGTTTTTCCAGTTGGACCCAGCTGTGTTTCTGTGCGTCATTGTGTTTTCATGGTTACTTTGTCCCAGCAGCTAAGGAGCGATGTCGTACTACTCGTCGTCCCGGAGCTCGTCCCGGGCCACCGACTGTAAAGTTTACGTCGGTGACCTTGGTAACGGCGCCGCCAAAGGGGAGCTGGAGCGGGCCTTCAGTTACTACGGGCCCCTGAGGACCGTGTGGGTGGCCAGGAACCCACCCGGCTTCGCCTTCGTGGAGTTTGAGGATCCCCGAGATGCAGAGGACGCGGTGAAAGGCATGGACGGGAAGTAGGTCTCATCCTCTATTAAATGGGTTTTAGATTAGGATTTCTGCTCCCTGAACTCACGGCGGCCCTTCATTCCCAGGATCCTTTGTGGCTCCCGTGTTCGCGTGGAGATGTCCACCGGCCTGTCCAGGAAGGGCCGCGGCCGCCCCAGCCGCCGCCAGTTTGACCCCAACGACCGCTGCTACCAATGCGGGGACCGGGGCCACTACGCCTATGACTGCTACCGCTACAGCAAGAGAGGCCGGCGCAGCAGCAGGTTGGGGCGGGGCCATGCTAGCCGCTTAGTGCCTGTCAGCTAGTTAGAGCAACGCTGACCTGGCCATCTTTCTGTTCCAGGTCCCGGTCCAGATCCCGGTCCCGCTCACGGTCCAGGTCCCGCGGACGGCGCTACCGCTCTCACTCCCGCAGTCGTAGCCGCAGCTACAGCCGGTAGGTCAGCGTGGAAACGGGCACAGCACCAGGAATGCTAACCAGAACAAAATCTGCATAATCTGGTTCAGTTAGCAGTTAAATAATCCGACACAGTCGGCAAGTCTGACCGACCGTCAGGAGTTTAACTAGCTAATGAACCTCTGCTGTTCAGGCGATCAAATATCAATAATCACAAAATCAACATCAAACCTGGAAACAACTTTTAATTTCTAAAAGGTAAAAACAAACGACAAAATAAATTTCCTTGTTTGTTCGTGGAACGAGGCGATATTCATAACAAACAACAAATAGGGTTAAATATTTCATAAATAACTGGCTCCTGGAGTGAAATTAAATTATTGAAAAAGAGAAATTAGTTCTAGTAAAACCGTCTGGAATTAGCCCGGTCCCGTTCTGTTGCTCACCGTTTCTTCTGTGTGTTTACAGGAGCCGCCGCAGATCGCCGTCATACTCCAGACGCAGAAGCAGGTGAGACCGCAGCGGCCCGACCGCAGACCCACCGTGACCCGCTGTGACCCGGCCGGTCAGTCGGTTCTGTCTGGTCTAATGAAAACATTCTCTGCTTCTGCATCATCAGGTCTGGCTCTCCGGCCCGGTCCAAGTCCAGGACTCCAGTGAGAAGGTATGCAGTGATCAGGACTGGGGTCAACAGGTCAGGCTCCTGTCTGACCTCTGACCCCACCCCGGTCCATCAGAACATTGTTGCTGTTCATTTCCGGTTCTCCTCACACTGATTGAAACTGTTTTGAGTTTTTACTATAAATCATTTTAATTGCTCCTCATATTGTTTGTTTTTTTCATTCTGTTTCCTTCTGAACTGGTTTCCAGTAAAAACACTTCAGCTTGTTTTAAGGTGACGTGGTTTAGTTAATATGCTGGGAATGTGACATTACTCAGCTCTGTCTTTTTTTCTTTCTCGTGTTTACAGTAATGCCTTCATGCTAATAAAATCTGTTTCTTCCTTGTGGAAGATGACCGACTTCCTTCCAAACTGGTTCCAGTTCTCGCATAAAGCTCATATAAACGGTTGGTTCGAGCTGAAGCTCTGATCCTCTGTGGCACATGTCTCAAGTTTTTACTGGACCCACGAGACTCTGGAGCTCACAGTTGTTTTTAAATATTATTTTATCAGTCAAATCAGTTTTATTTGTTACAAAAAAGTGAGAATAATATGTTTATTATCAACTGCAGTGACAGCTATTTCTTAAAATTTTGACGGTTTGTTAATCAGTAGTTTTATTTTTCTGCCACTACCGGCCCTTTAAGACTTTGTTGATCTCAATGTGATCCAAAGTGAAAAAGTTTCTCTGCTCATGGACTGAGCGAGGCGTTTCCAGTGGCTTTGAGTTGGAAACCTGTACTGGTTTTCCTCCAGCACTGAACTGGTTTGGTGCAGTAAAACTGATCCGGTCCTGGGAATGTTCCCTGGATGCGGAGCATCAGGATGAGTCCGGCGTGATAAATGTGATTTCTTCATGTTTAGTTTTTGTTATTGTCTCCCAGCCGCTCCAGGTCCCGCTCTCGGTCCGGCTCTGCCCCCAGGGGGCGCTCTGCATCTCGCTCCCGCTCTCGATCGCCGTCGGCCAACCACAAGCGGGCCAGGTAAATCCTCAGTGTGTGTGAGTGAGGCAGCACAGGGCAGTGGGAGGGGTGATATGTGTGTAGAGGGCAGGTGTTCAGGTCAGAGTCAGCCATCTTAGCCAGGGCGCCAACGGCCAGACGGAGGATCCGAAGACTCCACCACTTCCTCGCCGCTGGTTCAGGGAATGTTCAGCGGAAGGAAGACCTGAGCTCTTGTGCTCTCTGTTCCGGATCGGCTCTGATCGGGAACAGAGAGCACAGGAAGACGACAAGCTGCCACGACGCTGGCTCTGCTGGAGCCGCTCTTAGCTAACACAGCCAGCCAGACATTAGCAGAAGCTAGCAGACAGAAGGTACTTAGCTGAGTTTGGCTAGCCGAGGGCAGCTTTGCTAGGTGAGATCAGCTAAATGAGCACCAGTGGTGTGAGTTGGGGTGAACATCTTTGCAGAACGTTTTGTTTATTTTTCATATTTTCTTTAAAGCGTGTGGTGGGAGCTGAGCACTGCACAGACACCGCCGCTGATCCCAGGCCCAGGGTCTGCCAGCTGGCGGTGTGCACAGCCTGCGGGAGGGTGACTTAAGCGCTGACCTGAGATCAGCCTCCGCCGGCGTCTGACGTTAGACAGCGAGACAGAGGTCGACCTACCGACCGACCCCTCGCCCCTAGAGCCAGCCGGCCAGCCTTCAGAGCCGGGCTTTAAAAACCCGTTCCCCACCTACCAGAACCCCCCTACCTACCAGAGTTCTTCGCCTCGGTCTTAGCTTCTGAGCGTGAGACACAGAGCTGACGAGAGATCAGACTTCAAGAGCGTCTCCGAGTTGTAGTCGTCCGTCCTTCAGTCCTTTGATCCTTCGCTTCTCTGTACTTGTTGTTTCTGCCGCTGTCTCCAAAGGTAACCAACCCCCCACCCCCTGACTAAGCTCATGTTGATGGTGACAGAACATATTGAGCCGCTAAAAAGCGAGCATGTGTGGCTGGATGTGGGAGTGAGTGTGTGGACGTGTGAATGTGTGTCAGGCTGACAGGCAGGAAGGAGGGCGTTAGCCGCCCGCCGCCACAGCTTCTCATTCTGACATGAAATCTGTTAGCGCAGCTTAAAGGCGCAGCGCAGTCGACCCAACTGCCCAGATCAATGCGTCGATGTTCTGAAAATGTCGTACAAAAAAATCTATTTCACAGTGAAGCTGCAGCAACTTTTATCAAATGTTTTTTACATATTTATTTAAACGCACACCATGTTGTGACAGTTCAATATGACAAAGCTGGTCTGTGAAAACATCAGTCTCCTCCCTGCACTAACAGTGCTGCCTGAAGAAATGCACCAAAAACAAAAAATCTGACCCAGGAGGAGGGGCTTAGCGCTGTCAGTCAACTCATGTACTCGCTGCTAAATGTGCTCATGGCAAAGAAAACAGCAGTGCAGCAAAGAGCAAGTGAGTGATGGAGCGCCAAACACAGGATGATTGGCAGCGCTAAGACCCGCCTCCTGGCTTTGGCTGGTTGCCTCTAGTTAGTATTGGGAGGAGGCAAAGGAGATTTTTTTTCTCTTTTTATTCCAGATTATGAAGGTTGTCCTTCAGAATAAAGGCTTGTTGAGACCAAAACACCAAACTGAAAACTTTTACAGTCTAGGTTTTGGTGGAAAGAGAAAAACAATAAATCATTCAAAAGAAAATTATCAAGCTCATTTTAATTTGTAATGCAATTATTTGATGAATTGACTATTGTGAGAGACTTACTTGTTAATTGTAAATCACATAGAAAGCCTGAAGCGGCGGTGAAACGGTGTGATCCGGCCTGGACAGTTGGCTCGGCCGCGCCGGCCCTTTAAACTGACTTTAGTTCAGGTGGTTTTTGCAGTGCAGAGAAGCTGTAGGTGTGTCTCCCCGTCTGCTGCTGCCACAGGCTGACCCTGGTCCGTTTGTGTTTCAGTCGCTCCCGCTCAGCGAGTCCGGCCCGGAGCCCCACGCCTGCAGATGACTGAGCGACCAAGACTCAGCCAGCAGCAGCTGTTTTCCTTTGGTTCTGGTATCGGTCCGTGTCGTCTCTCTCTTTATTTCCAGATCTATTTTTGTTTAGTTTTTTTTACCGCTGGGACTGCCATCTCCACAGCTCCACATGCCCCAGGTTGTATAAATAGGAGCAGTTTTAACTGTTGCTGCTGTGTAAGCGATCCGTATTTTGAAAAGCGTAGCAAAGACGGGATGCGACACCTCGTTTGACTTTTAGCTGTAAAACTCAGAAATGGCAGGAATGGGCTGAGCAGATGAAATGAGTTGAAGTATTAAAACATCCTGAGTTTTTCTGTTGCTCTCCTCTTCACAGGAACACTTGTTGCTCTGCATGCCTTTAGATTCAAAGTCATGTTGTTTTCCTGCTTTCCCTTCATGAAGCTACATGAATAATGTGAGTTTGATACATTGCTCTGACCCGATTTTAAAACACAAGCGAGGCTCATGTTGGGGCAGCTGTTTGCTTTTCTTTCTGTTGTGTGGAAGTTTTATTTTGGAATAAATCTCTTCAACACATCCTGCTGCCGCTCTGCTGCGTTTCTGTTGATATTCTGTCAGATTCAGACTTTAACGTTGTGCTAATTCAATATTTTAAACTCTTCTCAAACTGTTGTTCTTTACCGAAATGCAGGGTAAATAAAAATGAGAACCAGAGGCCATGTTCAGGGTTTTAACTGTGACAATACATGTAGTGATTATTAAAATAAACTAATTCAGTAACTGAGCATTTTTAAGAAGAAATTTGCTAAAAGACAGCCATAATTAAATAAGTTCTGTACCAGGACAAAATTGCAAATTTCTGCCCAAAAATACTCAAATTTTGAGATTAAAATTTTTTTACAAAAAAATTTGGAAAATTGAGTTTCAAAACTTTGAAATGTTTTATTAAGGACTATTACTGGATAGTCTTCACACAGTAACACAGCGGATGACACAACTTTTTATTTGTGTGTAACCAGATGACATTGATTTCTACACACATTTTATGTTGAATTAATTGACTAAGTTTCTCCAGTTTCATGCAGGACAGATAGAAGTCATGATGTGTGATTCAGAAAATGTGATCACTGTTGGAGATAAGAGGAAAAGCATAGTTGTGGTTATGGACGCAGACAGGAATTTAAGCAGCCTGGAATCGTTGCCAAAACAGGATTTTCAGTCAATCAGGACAGAAAAATCATTAGATGGTTGTTTACAGTAAATTGTATTATGATGTTTGTATTGTTCTTGGTAAAGACAAAAGTTGAAGGTATTGGTAATTTTATATATCATGTTTTGCAACAAGGCAATACAAAGTGATAAAAATCAAATCAATCAAGCAGCTGCAAGCGATCCAAAATATACCAGACTGCAAGTCACTGTTTCTCTGTCTGTATTTAAACTGAATGCATCTTAAAGTAGCTTATTAGTTGCATTTATTTGAGTGACATTGGGGGTTAAAAAATATATTTCTAGAGGTTTTACTACATCACACTTTTTACTCTTACTGTACATTTTTGGACACTCTTTGAAGCAGAAGCCCAGATCCTGCTCTTGAGGTATGTATGCATTATTAGAAGGTTTCATATTTTGGAAAAGTGAATCTTATTTTATGGTCTAATTTTTCATTTCAGTTTTTAAAATCTGCATAAACAAGGGAGTGACTTCACTTTTCACTTGCTCTCAGCGTACAAACATTAAATTTAAACAGTAAAATTTCTTCCATGAGACTTAACGTGAATAAGGAAAGAAAGTTTTAAAGTGACAAATGCTTCAATGACATTCAAGTTTTGGGGCAGACCAACTGAAAGCTATGCCACCTCTTCTATTGGTTCAAATTAAAATCGACAGCCGCTTGAGCCTATCACGTATCGTTGCGTCACTATAATGGGCGTGGCGACGCATGCCTCGTTTTTCATGAATTTTCCGTCCATTTCAGTCGAACATTCTTTTAACCAGGACAACATGGCTACTGCAGCGAGCCGTTACTACAGCGAAGACGGCAGGGCAACAAAACGACAGAAAACCGACGGAATGGCCACAGTGAGTCCGCTGAGACGCTGCTTTTTGCTTCCAGAATTTTCGGACCAAACTCTGTTGGAGGGTTTTTTTTTCCCGGTGCACTTTTAATTCACTCGTGTTCGCGTTTGAAAGCGGTCACGACGCGGTTTCAGGTCGGCGGAGCGCCGCGACGGGAAACCGTTGATTCTCTGAAAGCCCCGCTTTAAAAGTGGCTAGCTTAGCTTCGCGTTTTCAAAATGGTGGGTTATAAAATACAGCACAGCTCCGCATGTTTGTTCCGATGCGGGTTTGTGCGGTTCGCTTTGAGCGGGACCCAGGGAGGGCGGTTTCCCTACCGGGCCTCCCCAGAGCCCGGCTTTGTTCCAGAACCGGGGGACGTTAGCTTGGTTCTGTTCGGCTAATTGGGCCCGAAGCTGTTTAAAGGAGCAGTTTCCCCAACTGTGACTCAGATTGAACTGCAAATAGAGATGCTGTCTGGATAAATGCTGCATGCAGATCAACTGAAGCGGCAGCAGTTGGTTCCCGTTCCTCCTGGGCCACTGAAACTGAACCTGAACCTCGGTTCCGCTAGAGTGGACCCTGGGTCTGCAACCAGCTAGAGCAAGGGGCTCTTACAAACGTCTTTCCCCCTAAAAAATAAATACCTTTTGCCCAACTTTTTAGTAATTTAATAGAAAAACAAATAGTTCTAAAGAGAAATTAAATGTAAGTCACTATTTAAGGTCCTTCACTTGCTAATGGCTGTAGGCAGGAACGATCCCCTGTAGCAGTCTGTGTTGCAGCGGTTATGTTGTAAAGCAGTTTCATAAAGAGAATAATAGATTTTATTTGTAAGAGATCTCAAATATCATCGAAGGTCTAGGAAACAAAACAAGCAATTACAATGGACAAAAATAATTAGAAAGTTTGAATAAATAGGAGATTAAAAGAAATATCTTGTAAAGTGAAACAAAAAATGAATGTCTTAAGATTCTCAGGATTGTCCACAACGTTGCGCTCCGTTATCCTTCCTTAGGCAACAAGTTGGACCAGTAAACCAAACCGGTTCTGTAAGCTGCTGTTTTTTCTACCCGCAGGGATATGAAGACCCACACAAGACCCTTCCTTCGGTGGTGGTTCACGTCCGGGGGCTGATGGATGGGGTCACAGAGGCCGACCTTGTGGAGGCGCTGCAGGAGTTCGGAGCCATAAGGTACAGAAGATTAAATCAAGGCAGTCTGGACTGTTTCTGCTGCATGTGACGTGTTACGTTTCACCTCCTAACATAACATGGTGACCATATCTAGAACAGAAAAGCTGGAAAACCACGTCCAGGTTGTAACTCAGCAGCTTGTTAGGCGCCGTATTTCCTGCCTTTTAATCACTTTAATGTTGACAGATCCTGCAGGCAGACAAGTGGCCTTTGTGTGGTTTGTTTGACCTCACAGCGCATGGTTGACTGAGTAGGTGTGTCTCTGCTGCAGCTCGTCAGTCAGGATGCATGCTGGGGGAATGTCAAACATTTGTCCCTGGTTGGACATCACCAGGATCTAAGGCTACTTCCACAGATCCATATCAGACTTATTATTTTCACATCATTGTTGTGAAACGGTGGCTCTTTTTGCCATGGTTATCTGATTGGAACTGGTTCATGCAGTAAGTTGCACCTGGCAGGTGTTGCTGTAACATCTCAAAGATCCTTTAAAACACGATTTATGACGTCAAACGAGCTTCACCAGGTAAATGCTGGCCTGGAGACGCCGTTGTCCCTGCAGCTGATCGGCTGATGCAGCCAGTCCTGATTAAATGAAAGTCATTGTTTAAGGTCCTGATTGGAGTTTAATCGCGTCTTCAATCAGTCGTCAACTGGAGTACACAGACTTTTAAAAAAAATAGATTGTTTTCTGAAATGGCAGTAATAAAGCCAAAAGTTGTACAAATATTGAACATTTTACTTTCAACCGTTTGGCTGTAAATCTGGTTGACAAATTTAGCTTCACTCGGTTCAGATTCATGAAATAAATTTAATTATTTGCCATTTTAGGCACTGAATAGTTGATAAAATGTGCTTGAGTGGTTAAATGAAAAATCTGCAGAATGTGCTGATTCATTGATTTCTAAAGTAATTGTTAGCTTTTGCTATATTATGCAAAACTATATGATGCTAAATCTTAAAACTCCAATATCTGAAAATCCAACATTTAGGTTTTACTGATGGGGAAACTATTTCCTGTTGATTTTAAATCATGTTTTGTATCATAACAACTGAATATTCAGCGAACACAAGAATGCTACTGTTTTATTACATTAAGGTGATTAATTTGTATCTTTTTAATGTAGTTTTAATATTGTACAGAAGGTGCAGCTGTAAAATCTGCAGAATTTGCCTATTTTTATCCGATTAATTGAGTCATCGTCAGAATTAATGATTAGTTGCAGCCCTTTAAAGTTGTTTCACTTTTTGTTTTGGTCTTTCAGTGGAAATGATGACAAAACCAAACTGGTTGATTCATTTAAACAGTTTAGGGAGTTAAATCTCCAAGGTTGTAACGAATGAAGAGATCAGAGCAGGAAACGGCGTGTTTATCTTCCAGCTATGTGGTCGTGATGCCAAACAAGCGGCAGGCCCTGGTGGAGTACGAGGACATGAACGGCTCGTCGACCGCCGTCACGTACGCCGCCGACAACCAGGTCTACATCGCCGGACACCCGGCCTTCATCAACTACTCCACCAGCAAGAAGATCTCCAGGCCGGGAGACTCGGACGACTCCCGGAGCGTCAACAACGTTCTGCTCTTCACCATCATGAACCCCATCTACCCCATCACCACGGTAACGGACACGTTGTTGGCCTAAATGGCATAAAAAAACAAACAGGAGAAGCTAAAAGAGCTGCAATAAAAACCAGCTGGCGTCGCCTTGGAAACGGTTTATTACCGAATTTATTCAGACTAAAATTCAGGTTCAAATTTCTAATTTATCACTGAGTCGATGCAATCTGCTGGGTTTCCTTGGATATAAAAACTTGAAGTGATTCAGTGATGAGGTGAAGCGATCAGAACGAATGAGGCGACGTTTTGTGAAAGGAGTGTTTAATCTGAAAGGCTCATTTGAGTTTTTGTTTCTTAAAACGTGACGGAGCCGAAGTGGTTATGATGGAAAAACCTGTCTAGATCAAATATCAGGAAGCCAGCATTCCTCCAACAATCAGATTAGCTGATTAGCTGATTCCTTTTTGCTGTTGCGTCAGAGTTTCAGAGATGGCCCATTTTTACGCTGTGCGTTTGCTCTCCCTTGCAGGACGTCCTCTACACCATCTGCAACAACTGTGGACCCGTCCAGAGGATCGTCATCTTCCGGAAGAACGGCGTCCAGGCCATGGTGGAATATCCTTTCTGTTTAAAGCCTGTGGAAATTACGAAGTTATCTTTCACGATAACCGAAAGAGCAGCCAGAGCCAGTTCAGTCAGTAAAAATGTCAGTCAGTCAGGCAGAGACTGTTATGAGATGGAGGATGAAGTGAAGAGTCAGGAAAGCTGAAGCGCCGTCGCCTCCTTAACTGTCGCCACGTTCGACTCGGTGCAGAGCGCGCAGCGGGCCAAGGCGTCGCTCAACGGCGCCGACATCTACTCCGGCTGCTGCACCCTGAAGATCGAATACGCAAAGGTACGATGGGACTCATGACATCTGAGTAAAGCTTGGATTCGGCTGCGATTCTATTAAATGTACCAAAGTCCAATATAAACCTCAGTGTCGGTCAACACTGACCTGCTGCACCAAAACCTCATTTCATTTTACTTCCTTTTTTTTTTCCTGTTTGGAATTCTGGGTTTTTATTTTTTTTCTTCTAACTTTAAAAAAAATTCTTTTGCATTTCTTTAAATAATTTTTTTTTTCCTGGAGGTTTAGTTCAGACCATAAATCGGAGCTTAAATGATTTTCAGACACTCTGGCCAATCAAAGCAAGAGTTAATCAGAGAATCTGTTCCCAAACGTTTCCATGTCACTGCGCCTCCATGACATTAACCTTTGACCCCTCAGAGAAACAATACTGGGAAAATGTGCAAAGAAACATCAACTCTTAGGATGTTTTCTATTAAATAATGATTACATTGGTTGGGCATAATGCTGACCTCTGACCTTCTGGTCAGGATATGATCACAATCCCGTCTTTTGATGATGAGAAAACATGTAATTTTTCTTTCATGAATCACATCAGGTTTCATTTGATCAGTTCTTGTGATGTTTTGCATTTTATCTGGTTTTTTCTGCTACAGCAGCTTGAGAATCAAAGCAGCTGCATGAATCTGACTGGCAGCCAGTCAGAAGTTACATTTGCATCAATTATTTCAACTTTTTTTTTCAATCAAATAAAATGTAACAAAACAAAAAGGATGTAAAAATTTTTAAATAAATGTATGCTTTTTCAGAGTTAAACAGCCACAACAGAAGAAAAAAACAACAAAAAGTAAACAAATAGTCTCGTCTTGTTGATTTCAACAAGACAAACGGTGTCGGCTTACTGGAGAACAACAGACATTTCTGGAGACGTTGCATCAAACATTCACCATAAAACACAGAATGTCAGTAAAAGATTAAAGCAATAAATTATGACTACAATAATAATAAAGAAGGAAAAAATAACAATCCAGGTCCAGATGAGTACATTATTTTGTTTGTATCTATTGAAAGGATCCCACATCCAGGAACTTAAGATGGTTGTCAGACAAAGGGTATCAAATTCTCCAAGATGGATACGGGACACCATTCCTGAAAACAAGGAGGGTTAGAGGATGTCTGTTCCCGCAGAATAACCTGTTCTGCAACCACTAAACCAAACATTACATCCTGCTGCAGAGACGAGGGAAGAGTAAGAGAATCTAGAGCCACACAAAATGAGCCAATGTTTATCCAGAGCTGGAAGTTTGCCATAAGCGTTACTATAAAATGTAAATGTCCTGCGCCAGAAGTCCAGAAGTTTAGGTCAGGAGCAAAGCAGATGATTTACATTTGTCATGATGAGGCACCAAGTTTGGCTTTTGAAAAGACGACGGATAACTGAATTGAATAAGTTTCTATCTAGAATGAATGGATCAGGTTTTGATTCTCAACAGACTCTGATCCCTCAGCTCATCTGAAATCTCACCTGGCGTCTCAGAAGCCCAGGCCTCTTATGATGATGAGATTAACGAACTGAGAAATTGGCTTTCTAGAGGTAGGGAGCTTTTTATGAGCTGCTGCACCAGTAAGGTTTCAAAGGGGGGAAATGCTGCCTGACAAAATTACAAACAAACCTGAAAAAGTGGCGAAGGAAGCAAAGTGATTATTGATCAATCCTGAACAACTAAAATGTATTTGTTTTAAATTTTCTCTTCCTCCTCCATATTGAAAAGCTGTTTCAGCGTTAAAGTGACGTTCTGTGTCGCTCCGTTTCCCCAGCCGACCCGCCTCAACGTGTTCAAGAACGACCAGGACACCTGGGACTACACCAACCCCAACCTGGGCGGCCCAGGTAAAACCTGCAGAGGGCGCCGGAGCGCTGCTGACCTCCGGTCAGTCGGCTCACTTTGGCTCCTGATCAGTGATGATTCAGGGTCTCCTGTGGGGCGGGGCGGTCTGGGTGGACGCTTACTGGGAGCTGACTGGGAGCTGGGATGTGCAGGAACACACTGGCAGCAGAAAGATGACACCCTGCAGCTACACTATTAGACTGGAAGGGCTTTTCTGCTCCGTTTCTGCTGGTTAGGATTCTTCATGCTTCTGGTATGTTATTGTTCCAGCTTGGCAACACGCCAACGTTTACACCTGATTGACGGTGCGGTTACCTGATGCTGTCAGGCAGCTGAGATTCAGCTTTTTTCAGCAGCAGGAACGCTCCAGTCCGTTCAGAAAACACATCACTGTGTCGGGATCGGAGTGACCTTTGACCTTTTTCATTCTGAAGCTCAGAGCAATAGAAATGTTTACCCAGCATGATGACCAGATTCAGCTTTTCTGGTCAATATTCCTCATGTTTTCCAACTTTATGCGATTAAAGATTTAATTTTACAATGAGAATTGATGGAAATAATCACCAGTTTAAGATTTACCTTCTTTGATTTTTGTATAACGTCGTTGGAGAAGTATTCCTTCTGAGTCAAGGTTTTATCATATTTAGCAAATATTTACTCTATTTCTGAAATTTAACAGCAACAAAACTCAGTTTTTATGATCAGAAGTTGATTTCTGAAACAAATAATTGTGTTGTGACTGTCGGAGCTCTGTCGGGGTTCTGATTGTTTAGATTTTTGTCCTGCGACCCGCCAGGTGGGATTTGGGCTGAACGTTTGGACCAGATCTTTATCGCTCTTTAGCTCGATGTAAACGAGTCAGACCAGCAAGTTTTTATTTCTCAAACCTCATGCAGAGAAATGAGTGTTTCTAATAGAGATCTGAAAATGTAACCATTTTGTTAAAGGGAGCAGAAATGACGGGCTGAATGCAGAACCGTTACTGGTTCAGTGGATGTTTGCTGCTGTTGAAAGAAGCTGCTAAGCAGGTGAGAACAGACAGGCCTTTGTTCGCCAGGCGTTTACTGACACGCCTCGCTGGCCGCTGTCGTTTGATCCAGGAGTGTTTCTGCTGCCAGCCGTGTTCCTGCTGCTGCACATCAGCTGAGCGGCAGGCGGCGCCACATTTTTTCTGTTTTACTGCGGCTGCTGTGGACGGTTATTTGTTCTCACAGTTCTAAACACACAGAAGCACCAACAGAACAACTCAGACATCTACAACAGTCACCAGTAAAGTTGATCATTATGTGGTTTCCTGTTTGGTTGAAGGGCTGGAAATCATTTCATGACATGAGATTTTATCTGAGAGGTGCACCGATACATCGGCCCCAATTTCCTCAATTATCGGTCGATACTTTACTGTGAAACCGATCTTAATAATGAACCACCAGGTCAGAGGATTTCTGTCTCAACAACTACAGCAGCAGGGCGACAGATTTTCACACAAGTTATAACCATAATATTGCTGCTTTAAAGAGATATGGGATAATAAAGCAAGAGCACATTAACAATAAACTTTAAATTGTAAAGAACATTTAACACTGGGCTTTTTAAATATCCAAAATATATAAACACATAAAATGAAAGTGCAAACAAAGCACCAAACTGAAGACTTTTATCATTCAACACACTTTAGAGACAATAACTCAAGAAAATGAAGATTATTTTATTGTGTGATTAATTGATTTATTAGTTATTGGGACATTTAGCAACAATTCAAGCTAATATTGGTACTGGCCAAAATCGGCAGGTCAGACTTTTTAAAGATCGGTCCAAACTGCAATCGGTGCACACCTACATCAGTCAGTATTGATTATTATGGATTTGTTTTGTTTGTTGTTTATATTTTTAAGTTCTTCCAAATTGGTGATTTTCTATCCAGTTTCCTCTGGAGATTTTAATCCCATCTTTGGAAACTTGGGTCGTAGAAAATGCTCCATATTTGTTTCAACTCAAGTGAAAATATGGTTAAAAGTTAATGTTCTGTTGCAAGATGGGAATTTGTTTTAGAGTCGTATAATTACTGGTTGTGTTTTGCAAGGAAGATATCGCATCAATCAAACATCATCTTCTTGGGGTTTTAATGACTGATTCATACAAACGCCTGGAGTCGAGTTTTTGTGACATAAAGACTGATTCTGGTCTTTTCCGCTGTCGCGTGACCGCAAATTTCTGGAGGTCACCTCTTGTTTTTAAAAAACAAAGAAATGGAAACGGAGGCTGTTTGTGTCTTAAAAAGCCAGACCCGGCTTGAGGATCTTTAAAAAGCGAGAGCAGAGGCATGGACCAGCATCAGTACCTGTAGTCTGATCTGCAGAGAACACGCATCGTCAAAGCACAGCCGCGCTCACACAGAGGGACAGAGGAGACACCCACCCACCCAACACGACGAAGTAGGACTCATTGAGCCACGGAGACGCGTTTGGGGCTCTGAGCTACACTCGGTCCCCCCCCTCCTGCCACATCTACAGCGCCTCACTGAACGGAGAGTCAAGACGACCCACAGACGATGCATACTGATACAGAACCCACCCACCTCCAACCAACACCACTCACACCGGAGCCACTGACCACCGCCCATTCTCTGCTCCTTCTCTTCTTTTTCTGCTCATTCCTTGTTTAGTTTTTTTTTTTTTTTAATGCCTTCCATGTAATGCAGGTTTGGCAATTTGCGGCTAAGAGGAGCCACAGCCCTCCCCCACTCTGAACTGTGCTCTGTGGCGGACGCTAAAGCAGGATTATTCCTCTAGAGACGGAGTCCCGGCTCAGCCGTCAGTGAGCGCTGCTGCCTTTGGTAAAACCAGCAGATGATGATGAAGAGGAGCAGGAGGAAGAGGAGGGTTTGGATGAAATGAAGTGAATGGAGAGTGAGGGATCTGCTGCAGCTAATGCCCCCCCCCCTCTCCGTGTTGGTAAACATGCAGTAAGTAATGCGAGACCCCCACCACCACCACCACCCTTCCAAAGCGCAACAACACACGATTCACATCCTGGGCTTTTTGTCAAAGGAGCCAAAAGTATTCATACTGACTGAGTTAGCACAGCTGGGTTCAGGTTTCCTCATTTCCCCCCTGACATTTACACGGACTGTTGTCTCTTGTGTGAACATGTAACGGTGAATAACATGGCTTCCACTGTGACTCTGATTGTCGCACCTGTACAGATGGTGATGCAGATGGCAATGGGAGCGGTGCAGGTGTGTGTGAGCGTACAACCCTCTTTACTTTGACTGAGCCATTTGTAACCCAGAGTGACTGTGTTTGGTTGCCCCCGTTCACCCGTTGGGCTCCTGCTCAGACCTGGCACCAACATCCACCCTGATCAAAGCTCGCTTCATCTAATCGCTACGTTTAACGTTCGGAAAATGTTCCACTGTCTCAAATCATCTGAGGAAGACATTGTGATTAAAATGTACATTAGAAATGTTTTCTGTGAACTGGCAGGATAATTCAGCGCTACATACCTGCTCTGTTTTATCCAAACATCCACTGAAGGTTTGTTTTACATTATGAAAACATAAACGTCTGAATTTTGCCACTGTTAAAATCATCAAAACACATCAGAATTTCAGATATTTCAAACAAACGGGTTGTGAGACATGTCCAGTTTTTACTCCATTTTTATTTTTAAGCAGTTAATTCACTCATCAGGCTGTCCTTCAGTTTAGCTTAACTAGCTGAGAGGCTAAAACCTTTCATCCCTTGGAGGAAACCCTCTGGTGAATATAAAACCAAGCAGCTCTGTGCCTGCTGGAGTCGGTAAAGCCTGGCGGGCTGCCAGGCTGATGATGCTGTGGCAGAAACCCTGGTTTGTTTGGTTTCTGATGAGGCTGCGTTAAACGCTGCAGGTTTCAGTCGTACTCCCAGGTCATGCTGCTGCCAGGTCTGAATGCGGCGTCCAATCATCTGCATCCACCTCATCCTTCAGCGTTTCTGCTTAACTCCACTCAAGTTGTCTTAATGGGCCCAGTCTGTTTGGTTCTGGACGGACAGAACCTGAAGTCAGACATGCTGCTCTTCCTGCAGTTTGTTGCATTTCACGCCTCTCCCCTCAACCCTGATCACCGAGGCAGTCTGACTGGCGTCCTGGTTAGATGGCGAGCCTTGAGCAGCATGTCTGCTAACCCGGAGCTCCGTTTAGCCTGGCGCTCCGTTTAGCCTGGCGCTCCGTTTAGCCTGGCGCTCCGTTTAGCCTGGCGCTCCGCCGGGCGGCCCACCGGGCGCTCGGCCCGTCGGCTCAGTGTTTGCTGGTCGTCCTGCCGTCACATTAACTGGAGTCCTGTTTGTGTGTCTCTTCCTCCTCCTGACTTCCTGTCTTCAGAAGACGTGAACGCCAACCCCAACAAGCGCCAGAGGCAGCCGGCTCTGCTGGGGGACCATCCTCCAGAGTATGGTGAGTCTGCTGACCTCTGACCCCTCATCAGACAGCCAATATCTCCTAGTTATTGAACAGCATCAGGTGAAATCCATAAGGGCAGCTCTATGATCTGTGCTTTGTGCTCATTTATTTTACTTTAAATTTAACTTCCTGCAGTTTGTTTTTACATTAACTAGAAAAGTTGACTTGTTTTTATCAGTCAGTTGTTTTTGTCAAACTTGTTGTATTCCAGTAATCTGAGCTGCTGCAGTTTCACCAGGTTAATTTGCTTCAGTACATTTTTAAGTGAATAGACGTTTGAAGTGGGATCTTCATGCTGGATGGACTGACGGTTTGCTGCGTCGTGTTTTCCTGCCGTCCTGTAGGAGGCGGTTACCATGGCTACGAGGAGAGCTATGGGTCCCCTCCCTACGAGGGCCGCCGGATGGGCCCCCCGATGAGGGGCCGCGGCAGCCGGAGCTACGGGCCGGGTTACGGGCCTCCGCCGCCGCCGCCCGGCGAATACGGCGCCCACGCCGACTCGCCTGTCGTCATGGCGTACGGGCTCGACACGGCCAAGATGAACGCAGACCGGGTCTTCAACATCTTCTGTCTCTATGGAAACGTGGAGCGGGTGGGTGAAGCAGCGCCGCGCTGCGGTTCTGACCCGGTCCGGTCACTGTCTGACCCGGTTCTGTCGTCCTGCCAGGTGAAGTTCATGAAGAGTAAACCCGGAGCCGCCATGGTGGAGATGGGCGACTGCTACGCCGTGGACCGCGCCATCACTCACCTCAACAACAACTTCCTGTTTGGCCAGAAGCTCAACGTGTGGTGAGTTCAGTCCGCCCTCTGGCCCCGCCCCCGCGGCGCTGAGGGGGCGTGGCCTGACCACGTGGCTCCGCCCCCGCAGCGTCTCCAAGCAGCAGGCCATCGTTCCCGGCCAGTGCTACGAGCTGGAGGACGGCACCAGCAGCTTCAAGGACTTCCACGGCTCCCGGAACAACCGCTTCTCCTCGCCGGAGCAGGCGGCCAAGAACCGCATCCAGCACCCGAGCAACGTGCTGCACTTCTTCAACGCGCAGCCCGACGTCACGCCAGAGATCTTCGCTCAGGTCCGCCGACGCCGCCGCTGGCGGGACGCCGTCTGAAACCACACAAACCTTCATGTTTCACCCTGATGTTTTACAGATCTGTGAAGAACTCGGAGTTAAGAGTCCAGTTAACGTCAAAATGTTCACCGGAAAAAGTAAGAACTTTAAAAGAAATTTTTTTAAGTGTAGAAATTAAATTCAAAGTTTAAAATAATTTTTTCTGAACACGAATTTCATCAATGCAGTTCTCATGTTTTTATTGGTACCAACATTGAAAAAATTGTAGATCTGATCAATATTCCCAATCAATGTCAGCAGATCTATTCAGTCTAGTTCTATGTGTGAACGTCATGATTCATTTGTTTTAAACTAAAACATTTCACTTTCTGAACCGATTTAAAGGTTTGCTGCTGTTTAGTTTGGTTATTTCTATTGGCAGTTCTAACTTCACTGATTGAATAAATGAAAGTTGTTTTATCAGATTAACATCTAATTGACTAAATCTGTGTTTTAAAAAAATTGTTTTATGTCAATTTAGTTGATACTAAATCTCAGATATCTGTATCAGATGTGAGAAAAGTGTAAAGTTTCACATTTTCCCATCAGGTGGGATCAATAATTCACTAACAGAAAAACTGAGTAAATTTCTGCCAGGAGCCTCTGATATGTTCTGGACGACTTCTAAACTTCTGAGTTTAAAACTTCAAAAATTTGTCAGCAGGAAAAAAAATAACAAAAAAATCTAGAACATTTTTTAGATTTGATGTTTATGACCACCTGAACCTTTTTTCCTGTCTTTAAGTGGCTTTTTTGGTGTTAACCCTCAGATATCGGTACCAGAACCATTCATTCCTGTTCTGGAACTGACCCTGCTGTTTGTCGCCAACAGGTGGCGCTGCTCCCAGCGACCGCAGCGCCTCCGGCCTGCTGGAGTGGGAGTCCATCAACGACGCCATGGAGGCGCTGGCGCTGATGAACCACTACCAGATGAAAAACCCAGGTGTGGGGGGCAGGCGAGCAAAGGGTCATCAAAGGGTTTGTCTCGATCACTCATCTACTATCTCCTCTCTCACTGCTCACTGTTGGTCCTACTCGGCTGAGGGCTGGGCAGGAGGCCCCACTAATGCTTTTCAAAGATGGACAGCTGTGTAATTGTCTGTTTGCATCCAGTTAAACGTGTATAAAGTGTAAACGTTGAGTTTTTGAAAATTGGCTCTCAGCCGGTTTGGACTAACTCTGAGCTTCATCCACATCCTGCCGCCCGACCGGACCGGACCCGGCCCGGTGCCGCTGCTGCGTCTCAACCCGTCCCTTTCTGTTGCAGGCGGACCGTACCCCTACACATTAAAGCTGTGCTTCTCCACCGTCTCGCACGCCAACTGAGACGGAACCGGCCCTTCTGGGACCAGAGGACGGAACTGGACCCGGCTGGACTCCATCAACCAGGACAACTTCATCAGTCTGGAGTTTAAACGGACTGCCGAGCTTTTAAATCCACCATCTGCAGCGCAGACGAGCAGCATAGTGTCGGTTTGTTTCCATCTGGTTGTCACTTTGACTTTTTGTATTCCAAGATGGCCGCCTGAGGCAGGAGCCACTTCAACGCTCCAAGGGCTTAATGGCTGAAGACGGCAGCGGCTTTCTGAACTTTTTATTATTCAATCGTGTTTTTTGTTGTTGTTTTAATTGTTGACGGTTTAGTTCTGTGAGTTCAGACCTGATATGCAGCTGGAGGAAAAAATGTTTTTGTTCTAAGAAAATAAAGGAAAACGCTCAAGTGGCCAGCGGCCATGTTTCTGCTGCTTCCCGAAAACCCCGGGTCCGAAAGCCCCGGGTCCGAAAGCCCCCGGGTCCGAAGGGTCCGAAAGCCCCGGGTCCGAAAGGGCCTCCTTCTGCTGTTTCAAACACTTCATTTAGAGTCACAATAGAACTTGCTTTACTGTCTCATGTGAAGAACAGGGAAACACTTTGACGTGTTTAGCGCTGCAGTTTTCAACTTCCATAAAATATATATTTTAGATGTTTGAAAGTATAACTATAGTTAGACTGGAAGACAAATTGTCTGACTTCTTTTTCGGGGCTAGAAAGAAACAACCAATCAGCCAGAAGGCGGGTCTTAGCGTTGTCAATCACCCTACATGTGGAGCTGTTAAAGAAACACTAGGAAGAAACATTTGAGTTTCTCAGAAATTTTGGCAAAAAATAAAAACCGTTTCAGCAGATAAGAACAAGAATAACAGCATCACAGTTAAAAGTTGTGCAGGGTGACTGCCATCCAGTCCGGAGTCATCCCGTCCTACCTAACAGTGATGGCGCCCAGCGGGGGTCCCTTCCCCCGGTGCTCCTTCCCGCCTGCCTCACCCAGAGAGCCAGGCGGTCCGTGGAGCCGGTCCCCGTCCCGCCTTCAGCTCTTGATGTTCCTCTTTTCTGCCGCCATCCGGATCACAGCCACGGGGGAACTGCTGCTCTTCAAATGGCGTCATTGAGACAAGGCTGAGCCACATATCTGCAAAGTCTTGTTTTGCGATTTTCGGGTGACTCACCCCGTACACCATAAGCTGTGCGTCAAGGACACCCCCCCCTGCCGGCAGGTGTGGGAATTGCGAGGAGCCGGTCGTTGCCCACAGATCTTCAGCAGAGCTCCACACAAATGTTTCAACATTTGATTTACTGGAGCTCTGATTACTGGATAATAAACATGTTTGAGACACCAGCTGATTCCAGCTCATAGTTTATCATGTAACCTTGATCCCAGGGGAGAGCGCGGACGCAGTCCCCCACTATCATAAATTGTGCAGTTGAGATTCTCCATGTGGAGAATTCACAGAGGTCAGATCGCCGCAGTGCAATGGCTGATCCTCACCCTGGGCGATCCACCTACAGGATCATGGAGTCACCCCTGCCAGGTAAGTATGTCCTTCATTCCTCTGACTGACCATTAACTACGTCACACTTCCGGTTCTGACTCACGGTGGGAGATTCAAATATTCCCTCCGTCACTTTAGGGTTTAATGTTTAACTAAACACAATCAGACACGAAGAGGAATAATAAGAATATAGAAGAGAAATCAAAATAAACCAACATATAGATGGTTTATAGCTCCCACAATGCATTGCGAGAATGCTGAAGCATTTTCATGCAATTTTAGTGTTTAAAATTTATTTTATTCCTCAAATTAACCTAAATATATTTAGAACTGATTAAATCTGCAACAACTAACTAATTTCTACTGAAATATCTAAAATATAAAGGAAATCAAAGGAAATCTTTATCTTGCATCAATAACGGGGTTCCTGGCCGCTCTGCTGCTGCCACCTGCTGGTCAGAGCAAGGAATGACATTAATAACAATAAATAAACCAACTGAATGAATGACAAACAGATACACTTTGTTTTATCGCATATTCACCAGAGTGATTGACAGCGCTAAGCCCCGCCCCTGCCTGGATGCTTCCCACTGACTGGAGAGTTTCTGCAGTTTGTACTGGGAGCACTGGGAGAGACAGAGGAGCTCGATTCTTTCTCTGATTGTCAGATATTTACGACGGCATGAAGACAGAAAGAATAAGATAGAAGTAAATTTCCACTCAGAGATTAATCTCAGAAGTCTCTGGATTTTCTAGAAAAATTGTGAATTTTCAGTTTTTCCTCGTTTGGTTTTTGCTCGGAAATTTCGGAGATGAATCTGATAATTTCTGAGTTTTTCCAACAAATTTTAAACATTTCAAACTTATAATGTATTATTTTGTCCCTTGCAAATAATCATCCATTGGAGATCAGAAATGTCCAATTTATTGAGATGAGTCTCAAAGTTATGAGTTTCTTGGTGGACATGTATTCTTACTGCAGTGTATTTATTATTGTGTTGTAACCCGGGCTCTCCGTCCCTAAACCTGCGGCTGATGGAAGACACCCTGCGGGCTCTGCGTTGTGTTTCATGATGAGGGGGGATGTGAGCAGGAATCAGACTCTGTTCTCTTCACACTTTGGCGCGTTTATTCCATCCACCCTGCAGGCAATAAACATACTGTCACCATTCAGTCGCTTTTCCTTTTGCACAACAATCAAACATCACCAGTGCAAACAAAGCAACTCGAACCGAACTGGCCAACCGAACAAACAGAAACGGTTCGGTAAATTAATCTGATGCACATGTTACACGGGCTTGCAGAGCTGCTGCTGACCTTGCAGGCAATAAACATACTGTGGTGCGTCATGTAACATTGATCCCAGGGGAGAGCGCGGACGCAGTCCCCCACTACCATAAATTGTGCAGTTGAGATTCTCCATGTGGAGAATTCACAGAGGTCAGATCGCCGCAGCAATGGCTGACCTGGGCGATCCACCTACAGGATCATGGAGTCACCCCTGCCAGGTAAGTATGTCCTTCATTCCTCTGACTGACCATTAACTACGTCACACTTCCGGTTCTGACTCACGGTGGGAGATTCAAATATTCCCTCCGTCACTTCAGGGTTTAATGTTTAACTAAACACAATCAGACATAAAAAATCCATTTAAATTTAGAAAAACTAAAAATGTTAAAGTTTATCCCAGAAGTTTTCTAGTAAAAATCGTCAGAGATTATTATTTGTTAATATACTTTTTTCTAATTAAAATGAGATTAAGCTCGGAAATTGAAAAAAGAGAAAAACAATGTTCTTTTAGCATAAAGTAGCAGCAGTAGAGCAAGTTGTGCTAATTGATCTCCTGGGCTTGAAATGAGGCTAATAAATTCAATATTTTAATATTTAATCCATGTTCTGTTTATTGTAGGCAAGAGAAAGTTTATGGTCTAATTCATTAATTTTGAACCGGCTGGCAGCCAGATTATAAAACTACACTTAGATGGAATCATTAATCCCATTTTATTTAATTTCAGTTCATATATGTTTCCTACTTCACTAAAGGTTAAAGATCTGAAATTTCATGGGAATATTCTTTAAAAATATCAGTTTACGTTTAAAGAACCTCTACAAAAAACATTTGTATTAGTTTTGCCCTGTTATCTCTATAAATGTTCTTTTATGTTGAGTAAATAAATAACTTCATTTTAACATTCATAACTTGACAGCATCAATAGTAAAAATCCTGAAGATTCATTCGCTTTTTTCTGTTCGCTACGAGCCTCATCGGCCACCGTATTAGAAGCTTCAGTAGCTGGAGATCCGCGTCTGAACGTTTCGTTCAGGTTTGTAGTTTAATTTTAATTGTCGTGTTGTTTAATATTTAGCTGGAGGGGAACCAGTGAAGCAGAGGAGAGTTTCGATAAGTTAGCTAGTTAGTCTCAGTTATCCAGGCTAGTTAGCAGGCTAGCTACCGTTGACGTTTCTATGCTAGCTAGCCTGCTAGCTAGCAGTGATGTTTCTTAACGTCTCATCCGGTGTCTGCAGGTCAAAGGGCGATGCTGTCGGCCCTGTTCAGATCAGCTGTGCCTAAATGTAAGTTTAACTGTTTGAGTCCTTCAGAGTTTTAAAAACTAAACACGTGGAGTTTAAATTTTAAAATCAATTTAAAACTGAAACGAGCTTTAAATGGAATATAGGTGAAAGGTCAATTTTATGGTTTGAGTCAAAGTTCTTAGTGTTTTCTTAAAATTAACAAAACATTTTTAACAACATAAATAAAATCAGGCAGACTTTGTTCCACAGGTTTCCAAATCGTGGATCGGGGGCCGTTTAAGGCCTTGAGGTGAAGTTGAGCGGCCCTCAATGTCATTACAAAAATGATCCTCCATTTTGGCTGTTGATGCAGATTCACATTTTACAAATGATTTAAAGTCTAATAAAAGTGAAAGGTAAACTCAAAGTATCAATCTTTAGTCAACCATGTTTGATGCAATTATTAGATTTCAGTGATTTTTTTCCTCCAGCGCAAAATAAAGCAAATTATGTTTTAGAAAATCAAGCAACACAAAATCTGTTGCTTGATTTTGACAGTTTGTTGCTGAGAATAAACACAAAGAACTGAAAATAACCAACATTTAAGACTGTAACGTTTCAAGTATAATAATAGATAAAGCAGTTTTTCTACCCAAATATTATTATTTTACTGTTTAAAAAAGAAAAATCATCGCACTGTAGTGTTTAAAAGTTTTGCTCCGTTTTTCAGTTTTATTTCTTTCCCTATCTTTGAATAATAGTTTACATGAGAAAAATGCTAATATTATTTCATAACATAAAGTTTGAACTGAAAGTAAATGACCAACAGCAAACTTATAAAAGGAATGAATAAATTCACATTTAGAAACTATTTGTGAAATTTTCACATATTTTCACAACCATAAACAAAATATACAAATAAAAAGATGGGGGAAATAATTACATGCGACGCAGTTTGTCTCCTCCGCCGGGTCAAAGGTCAGCTTTCCTCTGTGACTAAATGAATGAAATGTTTCTGTCGTTCAGACGGCGGGTTGTGGCGACCCGGCCCGGTCAGAGCCATGTCGTCCTCAGACGGGCCCACGCCGCCGTTCACCACGCTGGCCGTCAGCCGGCCGGCCGAGTCCGTCACGCACGTCCAGCTGCACCGACCCGCCAAGCTCAACGCCATGAACAAAGCCTTCTGGAGGCAAGACGAGCCGTAAATGAATGATGTCAACTTACATCATTCATTTACTTTTGGTCATTTTCTTTTTTTTTTAATATTCTATATTCAAATTGGGAATTAATTTTACAAGAAAGTTCTGTTGGGTTAGACTGTAATCAGTTGAAATGTTGTTTTTACCCTAAATTCAGAAACAAAAAGGTTCAGTCATTTTCAAGATTCAGTTTTAAACCAGGAATCCAGTTTCTACAAAAACTAATAAATAAATGTAAATAAATTTTAACTTCTTGGTAAAAATGTCATAAATTCCCTCAAACCAGGCGACTCTGGTAACTTTGGTTCGGGTAACCTTAACATCTCTGAATTAATTTTATTTGTCTGGATTGAGGCCCAAATCCCTTCAGGGTTGTAAACGCTGATGACCTTTGACCTAAACATTAAGGGGCTTTTATGGATTTCAAATGAAGTTAGGAAATTATTTTCAACTGACAAAATACTAAAGTGAGAAACCTCACTGGTGCAAATACGTTTCACTAACTTTCCCAAATTCTTGAAGGGTGGTGTATGTTTTCCTTCCACTAAACCTTCTGTGAATACTGTGTTTGATGTTTTCAGTTTTCTAAAGCTCAAAGACACTGAATCTTGGGTTTTAATTCTTTGTAAGGCTAAAAATAAGTTATTCATCATAAATTTAGTTAATAGTTTGTCTTTTTGAGCCGAGCTTTTGGTCATTTTATTGTTTGGTAACAAAAGGAGGTTTTTCCCGTTGCAGGGAGATGGTGGAGTGTTTCCAGCAGATCTCTGACGACCAGGCCTGCAGGGTGGTGGTGATTTCTGGAGCGGGGAAAGTCTTCACAGCAGGTGAGCGTCCACCTGGCTATAAACGGGCCTTTAACAGAAATGTTTATGGAACCTTTTGTATCAAATACACAATAAACAGAGACATGATGAGGGCAAACATTCGCTGCAGAAATCTAGGAATCTGTTTCCAGTCTCTGAAGTTTGTTTTTTTAAATACAAAAATCAACAACGACGCATTAATGCCACAAGGAAATATATAACAAACAGCAAGTGGACATTTCTGCCAAAAACAGCTAAACAATTTTACAAAAAAAATTTTTTTGATGAATTTCAGAAAAATTATAGAAAAAAAAAACAAGAAAATGTGCAAAAGAAGATTTCTGAATTTCAAATGTCAAATTTTTCAATAAAAATTTCTGAGACTTAATCTCTGAATTTCTACATTTTTGGCAGTAATGTACTCCTTTAATTGGCCGCTGTAAAAATCCCTCAAAGTTTTGGATCTGCATCAAAAATCAAGTTACTTTATTTACTTGATTTTAAGTCGGGTTGTTTTATCGACAATTTTGTCTCAAGTGAAAAAAGTTTGTACTCCCTCCCTGGTGGATGAACCTGAGATAGGAATAACAGACAGATGGCCACTCTGAGGTAAAAATAAACGGCACCATGCCGCCGCCAGGGATCGACCTGATGGACATGGCGACCGACATTCTGCAGCCGGAGGGCGACGACACGGCGCGGATCGCCTGGAACGTCAGGAAGCTGGTCAAACGGTACCAGGAGACGTTCTCCGTCTTGGAGAAGGTAAACGCCGCGAGAGAGGACCGGCGGTCAGAAAGGTTCAACGCTCAGGTTCTCTTCTTCTCCTCCAGTGTCCAAAGCCGGTGGTGGCGGCGGTCCATGGAGCCTGCATCGGAGGAGGTAGGGCGCCATCAAGATGGCCGACTGAAAATCCAGCAGTGACAAACGCAACAAAGACGTGACGTCACTGCTTATTTTTACCTGATCAAAGAAAACCTTCAATTAGATTTAACTTTGTTTTACAGTTGAATTGACCTAATTTGAAACTGCAAACATTTTATTAATTGGAGTCATTTTATCCAGGAAAGAAAAGTTCTGTTGTTTTTATTAGTAAAAAATTCTTCACTGTAAAAAATAAAATCTGTCCAAGTATTTTTAGTCAAATATGTTTGAAATAAGACAAAACTAAGTTACAAGTAAGGTAGAGGAGCTTGTTTAAAGTTAATAATTCCTTCATCTAGATGAAAAAGCTCCAGTTCTACTGCCAAATAATTTCACTAATGGAAAAATAATCTGAAGGTGGAACTTTTTTCCACCAATATTAAAGAAGCTTCCATATTCTTTTGAAAAAATACTTCTGTCTGTGTCATTTCTAGTCTGCAGAGATATTTACTGGCCTGAAGGTCGTTTAATTCTGGGTTCTTCCTGCAGGCGTTGACCTGATCACAGCCTGTGACATTCGGCTCTGCACCCAGGACGCCTGGTTCCAGGTCAAGGTCAGGAAACGGATCAGAACTCAGCAGCAGTTTAAATGGAAATCTGGAGAACAGACATTTTTACGTTTTGTCCACACAAAACTCAGTTTCATATTTATAAAAAAACAAACTGACTGGAGATTTGAGAAATTTTGATAATCAGAAAGTTTCAAGATAAAATAAATTTCTGAGCTCTGGAAGTTAAACGTTTGCTAGAAAAATAAATCTCAGTTTGAAAAGTCAAGTGTTTGGTTCAAAGCTAAATAATAAAACATTTTTTCTAATATTTCTGAGATCAATCTCAATTTCTGTTTAGCAGATTTTCCACTTTTCGATCACAGAAATGTTTTTCTGGAATGTTTCTGACTTTAGTCAAGATGTTTTTCTGGCAAATTTGAACTTTCAAACCAGTTATTCTTTTTCCCAGAAAATTTCAGAAATGTTAATTTTTTTTAATGCCTTAAATACAATGTTGTAAAAAGCAGAAATTTAGGATCCTGCGCATTGCATTCTGGGACAAGTGATGGAAGTTGTGGTCGTTTTGAAGCAATCTGATTGGCTGGCAGGTTTTGTGCTGCACTGCCCCCTATGGGTTGGCATGTTTAAAGCAACGCTTTGTGGATGAGAACTTTTCAGAAACCATTCCAGCTTCTGCCAGTTTTTCCTCCAATATGTGGCGGACATGTTTGTTTTGTAGAAACTGAGTTTTTCTTCTCTGGAGTTTTTTACCTTCCTGAACTTCCCTGTTCCAGTTAGCAGCTCAGTCTTGATGGTTCCGTTCTGAGTGGTTCCGATCCGAACCGTTTCCTCTCCGTCTCGGTTTCACAGGAAGTGGACATCGGTCTGGCAGCGGACGTGGGAACGCTGCAGCGGCTTCCTAAAGTGATCGGCAGCCGCAGGTAAAACCCCACCCGGTTCCGGACTCGGCCGTGTTTATTAGCGGGAACCCTGAGGTCAAAGGTCACGTGTGGTCTGTGCAGCCTGGTGAACGAGCTGGCTCTGACCGCCAGGAAGATGTTCGCCGACGAGGCCAAGAGCAGCGGGCTGGTCAGGTAAAACCCAACGTTAAGAAAACTTTAAATATGAACAACGAAGGCGACGGAGCTTTTATCTCTTTAAAAACTTTCCTGGTATTTTTTCCCAGATTTCATTTTCTATAATGCAACACATTTTCTGCCATGGTTATTTTGTCGTCGCTGCAGCCGAGTGTTTCCGGACCAGGAAGCCATGATGGCGGGCGCGCTGGAGATGGCGGCGGAGATGGCGGCGCGCAGCCCGGTGGCCGTGCAGGGAACCAAACTCAACCTGATCTACTCCAGAGATCACAGCGTGGCAGAGGGACTCGACTACATGGTACAGAGATTATCATCATGCTCATTTGGCCTGTTTGTCACAAATATATTCAGAGGAATTTGCTTTATTTTTTTGAAGTTCATATCAGATCTGTTTATTTTCCATGGACCTTTTGATGTTGAGTTTTATTGTTTTTCATTGGTGGGTTTTATAAAATAAACCGGGCTCGGTTCTGCGCTCTGGTCTGTGCAGGCGACCTGGAACATGAGCATGCTGCAGACCCAGGATGTGATGAAGTCGGCTCAGGCCGCCATGGAGAAGAAAAGCCCGAAAGAAACACTTTTCTCCAAACTCTGAGCTTCACTGCCGACGGCTTCAATCTCCAGATTATTCTCCAGATTAACGCCGACCTCCTGTGAGGTCGCTTTGGGTTCTTTTTGAAAACTAATTATGTTTATTTAATAAACTCATCTGAATGAATGTTTATGTTGCTAAACATCAGTCTGAGCCGAATCTTTAAAACAATCTCGAGTTTTTATTAAATAAAGGTGATAAATTAAAACGTCGGCGTCTGTTTGGCTCGGAGCTTCTGCAGCGTTTTCTGTGGAGGGAAATCAGAGTGAGCTGCGGTTCTGCTGCTGCAGGAACCCGGAGGCGAAACGCTCCTACCCTGTGGAACTCCTTGGCCCTCAGCCGGTTCCTGGCCCAGTCCTCCTGCCGGCTGCGGGCCGCTCGCTGCTGCTTCACCTCCTCCAGCTGCTCGTACAGCCTGAACACACACACACACACACTCTGCTCACACACTCTGCTCAGAGCGCAGACGGCCCGCCTCGGCCCCCTGGTACCTCTGGGTCCGCTGGTGCATCTCTGACAGGTTCCGCTTCCTCTGATCCGGATCGCTGATCCGAACATCGGCTCCGATCTGAGGACCGGAGCGGTGACCTGAGAGAAGAACCGGGTCGCAAAATTCTGTTAAAACCAAATCAGCAGCCAGAGCTGAGAGTAACTAGTTACATTTACATGAGTAACTTTTTGGAAAAAGTTTGAATTCAGGAGGATTTTGACTTTTTACTCAACTAATTTTGTTATGAATCATTTCTGCTCTTGATTTCTGGTTTACATGATTCAACCAGATTCACACCTGAAGCTTCTGTTGAAGTTTAATTAGTTTTTAATTTAATTAGTTTTTAACATTTTCCTTTGTCTGATTATGTTGAATTATTGTCATTTTGGTCTCATGATGAAATGATTGATAATTTGATCAGTTACTCAGAACTTGAATAAACTTTCTACTTTTACGTGACTAAATCTGTATTGTTTTTCTGTTTCTCTGGTCCAATTTCAGATTCTCTGTCCAGCTGAAGAAATTATGAGACAGTTACAAGGAATTTCTAATAATCTAGGAAAAAAGGTTGTAATAAGAATAAAGTCACAGTCGTAATAATGTGATTATAAACGTCCAAATGATGTAATAAAAAGTTGCATCATGAAGTCAAAGTAAAAATGTTCTGAGGTTGAAGTAGCGCTACCTGGTGGAAGTGGGCGGAGCTTCCTCTCTGCTCTCTTCCTGTCCTCCGTCATACTCTGGGACTCTGTCGCCTCCTTCCTGGGGACGGACTGGACCGCGGCTCTACCCGGGTCCGGTCCTTCAACCGGAACCCGACCGGGGGGTCCGTTCCTGGCGGCGGCCCGCTTGGCTTTGATCTCCTGAACGCGGCGGTCGGACCGCAGCATGAGAGCCCGGCGGCGCCGCTGGAAGACGTCCTGCAGGTCCCTGCTGGGACTCCAGAGGAACTCCAGGAGGGACGCTGGACACGGGGACCAACAAGATGGCGGCCATCATCAAGATGGCGGCTCTAGCGCCTCACATGGTGCTTTGATGTCTGTACCTGATGGCGCCTGATGAGCCAACGTGGATTCAGCCCCCTGGTGGACGAAGTGTGCAGGTTATAAAAAGGTTTATTTGTTCATTTTGTGACGCTTTTCTTGCAAATATTTCAGTTTTGAAACATAAATTTAGAATTTTTTCTATCTACAATGTTGATTAATATTCAGTATTATTCTGGTGATGAGTTTAACAGACATGATTTATTAAAGTTACTGCAGCTTTGATGCAAAGCTGAGAGGAATGAACCTCTATTGGCTCCGTTTCCATGGTTTCCTGTCCAGCGGTGATGCTGTCTGGACCGTCGCCGTCCCGCAGGTCCTCGCCGTCCCGCAGGTCCTCGCCGTCCCGCAGGTCCTCGCCGTCCCGCAGGTCCTCGCCGTCCCGCAGGTCCTCGCCGTCCCGCAGGTCCTCGCCGTCCCGCAGGTCCTCGTCGTCCCGCAGGTCCTCACCGTCCCGCAGGTCCTCGCCGTCCCGCAGGTCCTCGTCGTCCCGCAGGTCCTCGTCGTCCGTGGCGACCGCGTCCTGGAGCGTCGTGTCCGTCAGACTCACCAAGGTGATCTGGGATTGCTCCAGGATGCCCTGCTCCCCGTCGGACTCCTACAGAACCAGAAATCAACCCGGTTCAGGTCCAGCATGTTGGTTTCCATCCAGACATTTCACTCAAGAGTAAAAAGTTCTACACATAGCGCTACGCCAGCTGCTGCTTCCATTCACCTCGTTTTTTCCGTAAAATTCTCTGATGTTTAGATGAACGAACCTTGAAATGATTCCTGTTTTCTGTCAGTCAGACCAAAACATACCGGTGTGATTTCTGAGCTGGAGAAATCCTCCTGGCGTTCACCGCCTGAGACCGAAACTCTGGAGGATTCTGCCGAGCCCAGAGCGGACGCTTCCCCGCACCCGCTGGGCGGCGTCTCCGGGGCGGCGAGGGACTCAGGGGGTGGCGTCCCCAGGGCGGCGGGGGACTCAGGGGGTGGCGTCCCCAGGGCGGCGGGGGACTCAGGGGGCGGCGTCCCCAGGGCGGCGGGGGACTCAAGGGGCGGCGTCCCCAGGGCGGCGGGGGATCCGCTGGGCGGCGTCAGGACAGAGTCCTGCTGGACGCATTCGGAGATGACGAGCCGGGAGAAGGACTCCTGGACTTCTCTGCGGCCGCCCGGCTCCTCCGCTCTCAGCTGCTCCAGCGACGAATCGTCTGACGTGTTGAGGTCAGGAAGGTGAAAGTTCATAGAGGGGTCAGCGGTTTCGTTGTAGGTGATTTCTGGATGCAGCCGGTGGAACGAATCTGAGTGGAGACAGAAAGACGAGTCGTTTCAGTCCAACGTTATTTCTGAAGAACAAAAAATGTAGGACTGAAACGATTAACTGATCAATCGATCATTAAATTAGTTGACGATTATTTCTGTAATCAATTAATAGATATCTGGAGTGAAGAGACTCAAAAAGGCAATTCACTAAAACATCAACAGAGAAGGGATTAAACAAAGTGTGCAGACAAATATATTAAGATTTTGCATTTAAGATAAAAATTAACCTGCTGTACCCAGTTTTAGCTTCACCTGGTTAAAATTCAGAAAAGAAAATTGTTTCAATCACCTTTTGTCCTCTAATTATCAATCAGTGACTAAAACATGATGACCGGATCGACTCCGGAATGAAGGAATCAAAGCAACAAATGTTTTTGTTTGGGATTAACATTAAAATAATTCATGAAACTGCTCCTGTAATCCGTCTTTGCTGGAAAATAAAAACAACGTTCTAAATAAATAATTGTTTGTCCTGCTGGGAGCCGGTTAATCCTGGAGGCCCGCCAGGCTGATATAAACTGAGGGAACCCAGAATGACAGGAGTCGGGTTGAGATCAGAAACGGCTCCTGATGTTTTCTCTCACCAGCGGCGCCGTGCGGGTCCAGTTCCTCCAGACCGGCTCGGTTCTGCAGCACCGGGTTCGAGGCGGGCGGACTCTGAGCCAGGCGGCGCGGCAGCCATGATGGTTCTCTGGACTCAGATGCAGAACTTCGTTCACCTGAATTCAGTCATTAATTTAAATTTAAATTATCTTTAACTAAAAACCAGAAACGATCCAGAATGAAACGCATACCGGAGCTTCCACTGTTCTGATCGGCAGAGACCTGCGGCTCTCCCACCAGAACCCTCATCCGGGTCTCCTCCGGTAGCTCATCCGACCAGGACGGTTCCGACGCGTCTTGACCAGCGCAGAAACCCCGACCCGGATCGTCGGACTGTTGGGACAGGCGGCCGATCATCCGGCTCAGAGTGGAGTCCCAGCCGCCGCTGCGATCTGGCGGACCGGGCCTGGCACCGATCATGGAGGAATGAGCCGACGGCTGGCCGACCAACCGCTCCAGAACCGACAGCCTCTCCGGAGCCAAGCAGGACGGGTTCCGCTCCGGGTCGACGGGCCAGAAACGCTCCAAGCCGGGATGACCCGGGGTCGCCTGCTCCTGAAAAAGCAGAAAGGCTCAGGCCCATGGAAGCAGACCGGAGCAGGAAGTGGACTAGAGCGCAGGGCATTCTGGGTAAATACAACCAAAGCTAACGTGCTAGCCTAGCGCTAGCAACAGGAAAGGCTCTGTAGCCAAAGACTAAGGAGGAATCGTCCAGCCGCTAAAATCTGACGCCTCCATCTGGAGAGATGGAATCTCTCGCTCCGATTGCATCTTCTGATTGATCTGAACCTGGTTGAATGGATGAGTGACTGACCGGGTTCGGGTCCTGACCGGCCGCTGGGCGGCGCCGGACGTCCCGACGAGCCGAGGTCTCGTCCTCCATACTGGACGGCCGAGAGAGCGAAGAGCCGGACTCCTGCGGAGCGTCGCTGTCTGAGAGCAACAGCAGAGTTTTTATTGTTCCAGAACCGGGCCGGAGGCGGGTAGGCGGCGAGGGATCCGGATCTGGACCTGAAGTCGTTCCTGCGGCGCCGAGCGAGACATTGAGCTCTCTGGTGTATTTATCAATGATGCGCTGGATGATGCTGTCATTAAACACAGAGTCGACAGGCGGACCGGCCGAGTCCCGGAAACCCGCACAGGAAACGCCACCAGAACCCGGTCCAGTTGGGTCGAAGAGCCGAGGATCTGAAATCAACAGGAAGCTGGTCATCATAAATAAAAGCCCAACAGGAAGTCATAATCACCAGAATAAAAGCCATAATTAGTTTTATTCATAATTAACACAAGAAAAAAGTCATAATTAAAAGAACAAGTAATAATTTTGAGTCTTAAAAAGTCATAATGAGTCACAATATTACATTTTGTTGGATGATAAATTATCCCAGAAGTTATTTCCATAAACGTTAATATTGTTGTTTTGAGACCATTTTAAAATAATATAATAATAATAATAATAATAATAACTTTTTGATCCCAAAGATCAAAAAACTTTAAATTCTAATGAACATTTAACACAGGAACTGGACGAATTTTAAATATCCAAATTGATAAAACAGAAACAATAAAATGATATAATTGCCTTGTAAACTAAATGACCCTCCAAAATAAAAGCTTGTTGAGAGCAAAACACCAGACTGAAAATTATCATCCAGTTTTTGGTAGAAAGATGCTTGGTTATAACTATTAGAATAAGTCATAATTTAGAGAATAAAAGCCGATGTTTCTGTTTTCTTGACGGGTTTCGGATGGCGGTGAAGGTCCGGATGGTACTCACCGACGCTTCTCTCTGGGTCGGTGGAGACGTAGCTGCCGCTGGAGATGGTGGTGGAGGAAAGGATGTCGGAGCCGTAGGACCTGCAGGGAGGCTGAGACAAAACTGGACTCGGTTTGTAAGGAACATGTCAGCAGCAGCAGCAGTTTAAACAGCTGAAACATAGAAATCATGAATCAGGGTTTTAGTCTAGACTTAAAGGCGCTCTGTGTCTTTAAATCGGATGTTTTTCAGTTTGTGGTGCACAGAAACTGAATGCTGCTTCTCCATGTTTGGTTCTGTTCGCTGTGCTGCTATGGTAACTGGGTTCTCACCTGAACCAGTGAGAGCAGGTAGGTATTAAATAGGAGGGGTCCCAGGACTCA